AGAAATAGTCGAATAAACTCGTTATTTTTGTTTGTTTTTTTCGCACAAAAAGTATTCGCGTCGCTTGATAAACTTATAGTTGAGCCACGGTAGTCACTTGGGATATTTTAACATTTTCTTCATTGACTTTCTGGGCCGTCAAGAGGCAGTCCCTTAGCAGCCAATGTGGTAGTTATACAGCTCTCAAATTTAATCAAAAATATCTTCATTTGGTGTTCCGAAGACGAACGAAGGTCTTACGCGGTTGGTACAGCATGGGGGTGAGTAATTAATGACTTAATTTTCATTTTTGGGTGAACTAACCCTTTAACATTGCCATATTCATGCTAAAACTACTCCTTCATGATTGAGTTGTCATGATTTAAATATACTGTCTAAATAATATATGTATATATGTTGTGTAAATAAACTGTTATTAAGTTCATTTATTCCTATTACAATGATAAAATAGCAGGCTGTGAGGTATAACATGCATTATACCACATTCAATACACTCAACTTTAAGGGTTAGTTGGATGGGTGCGCTTTTTGGACTTCAAAATATCAGTCACCATTCACTCCTATTATAAAGCTTGGAAGAGCGAGGATATGTTTTAATATAACTCCGCTTTGGCTGAAAGAAGAAAGTCATATCCACCTAGGATGGCTTAAATGGGATAATTTTCATTTTTGGCTGAACTAACCCTTTAAATGAGCCATAAATCACCTCAGTCTAGCCTAATTGTGTAAGATCTCCTCCTTAACTGATTATTTCATTGAATGATTAGACTATTTTACAGACAATTTGGTTAAAAAAAATCCAATTAAAACAAAAAAGAAAAGAATTCAGAAACATATCTGGCTGGCGTTTGTTGACGTAAAGAGGTTGTGCAAAAATCTTAAAATAAAACTGACTGAAATGTTTAGCAAGTGCATATATTTTTTAAACTTTCACATTAATTAAAAGAATAGTATGCACTATACTACTCATCATGCAGTATGTATGTACATGTCTTTCATATATTTTCAGTTTAATGGGCCACATTCCATTAATAATGTACCCAGTGCTGGGCATTATATAGCATCATATACCCACCAGTTTTGTATATTTTGAGGGTAGATGGTGAGGTTGGTTAGCAGTGTGCCATCTTTCATCCACTCCAGGTGGTCTTTGCAGTCTGAACCTGTGCGGTTCAAACCCATGGAGGCTTTGCATTGGAGGACCACGCTGTGTCCGAGCATCCCAGAAACCGACTGAGTTTGATCATGCCTGAAGTCTGGAGCGCTGCTACAAAGCGGATCTTTGTGAGAGAGAAAAATGAGAAATATGTGAGCATCAGTGTGTTATGTCCCGTTCATACCAAGAACAATAACTATAAAGACATCTATAATAGTATCCACACCAACGCACGATACCAATCTGTTCATTTATTATAGCATGCTCTGCAGTTTTGTCGCTTGCCGCTTTAAATGCCCGCAATCAAAGCAGAAATTCTGATTGGCTGTCAATGTTTTTATTGTTCATCAGCTAGAAAAAAAAAAATCGTTATTAAAGAGATTCTAATGACATCATATCGTTACAGTTGTGGTGTGGACTTTTACTAGTGTATGTCTTTAGCATTATCGGTAATAGTTATTGTGCTAAGTGTGAACGGGCCTTTATGATGTATAAAATGTGACTTTTTATAAGTTGCGACACAACTAAACTGCCAGATTCTTAATCCATGAGCTTTATGGAATGAGCGCACCTGAAAGGAGCTCAGCTAAAAAACAATGACTTCTTTATTAGCGTAACCTTGCTTGATATCTAATCTCAAGAGAGATGAGTGAAACTCTATTCTGATGCACAGACGAGGCTGTTTCTCATCAGCACATGTTTTAACAAAATGTTCTTCATCTGGTATTTTATGCAATAAAATGGAAAAGGGTTCATAAAAAATGTATTTAATGGACCTTCATTATGAAGATTCATTTGAAAGCTTGGCTGGTTACAGGTCCATTAACGACACTGATGTTTAATAGAAATCCCTGCCTACATAAATATTGTACTTAAGTACATTTTCAGGGAAATGGTTGAGATACTTCAATGTGGGCAGTTTTGGTCCATAAATCCTTCAACCAACAAACTTTGGACATGCTGTGGGGGTCAGAAGCAAGATAGCCACCAGGTCATTTGGCTTGACCTTTAGCAAACACGTTTCCTCAAGTTCTCTGTACACAATCTCAGGATTCGAGGTCGGTGAGACAGCTGTTCATTTGTTTCTATGTGACTTGATGGAAAACACCTTTCCTTTTTTGCCCCCTTTGGAAGTCAACCGTCAACTGTCAAATTTTTGGGTGAACTGTCCCTGAAAGGCCTCAGAATTAGTAGTGGGGATTTAAAATACATCGGTAACATCAGATTTAGGATATTTTGTTAATTTAGCTATCAATATCGGCCATGTAATTGCACAATCTGTACATTAAGTATGTTATTTAGGCCTACTGATTAAAGTCAGCCTGCGAAAAATTGGCCAAACAACAAAAAAATGTGACTGCACCTTTAAATGTATATTTAGCAAAACTCAAAATGAATAACAATTTTTCATTCTGCAAATTATAATGTTGTGATGATTTTTGAGTTTTATTTTGTATTTATGTAGACAAAACAGTATACGATTATATCAGCCATTTAGGTTATAAGACGAAAATAACACTGACTACATCATTCGACCACAATTATCTTATTGTTGCGTCCCTATTTAGTGCACCACGTTAAGTGTGTAGAATGGGACCAGCTCTTGCGATGTGCAAACCCAGCATGTGCATACTTGAGTTTTAGCCCTTAGTGCCAATTGCTATGTTAAACAATCTAATAAAATATGAAATCAGCTGTTCATCCATTGGAAATTTGTTACATTCAACAGTTCATATATTTGATATGCAGCTAGATATAAAGTAAACAAGTATGAAAATAACAGTGTAGGACAAAATTTGCGTATTCTCAAAGCAAGTAGGAATAACTAGTTCCTGTAACCCAACTGGTAGAGCTCGGTGCTTTAAATGTCAAACATTCAATTCCCAGGCCATAACTATCTATAATATACTGTAAGTATAGCTTTAGACAAAAATATGAAGTAAACTAATACATGTAAATACTAATAATTCAAAGTTAGGGAGGATAAGAGTGGCAGAGGGGGGGGAAACAATGTTACTAAAGCAAATATTGACTGTTCCAGAACATTCTCTTGTTCCAGAACACATTTACACTGGATTGCTCTTTTTATGGCCACTTTCACCCGTGCAGATGAATTGTAAGTTGGTAATTTGAGGTGCTTTACATACACAAATGCACACACACACACACACACACCAAAAAGTCAACATTATGTATGCTTATATAGGCGGAAGAGAGATTTGTGTATCATTTTGAATGCACTCGATAGGACTGAAAAAAATATATAACCTGGTATTACAGGTTCATTATTCATTACTTTCAGGTTGAGAACTAATGCCTTTGGTTATAAGACTTTATCTGTCAATATTTAATATAGTCAGTGTGGATCTGTGTAATAAGTTAGATTATTGTTGACTAAATGAAACTGCAGCCAGTAACTTCATTCAATCATTAAACAGGAGCTGCTGTGTTAAAGGTACAAAGTTCAATTTACAGGTTGAGGTTTCTTTTTTTTCTGGTAGACAAACAAACTGCTGTATAATTGTATCACATGAACATTATTAACCGGAAAAACAACTTAAATGTAAGGGGTCACCAGGACATCATCATATTTTTGTTGTATAAACAAATGAAACCAATAACACAACATGATATAAAGGTTGAAGAGTATTTTCATGTCAGGGCAAGTTGTCATGCGTTTTAAATGTAATAGATTACATTTACATATGCTAATTGGTTATTTGCAAATATCAACACACACACATTGTATTACAGTAAAAGCCAAAAAAAAAGCCTTAATAAGCCTTAATACTACAAAAGCCTTAATACTAGGTTGTTTGAGATATATAGAAGTATATATATATATATATATATATATATATATTGGAATCTGCCATCAAACAACCTATTAAGGCTTTTGTAGTAGATAGATAGATAGATAGATAGATAGATAGATAGATAGATAGATAGATAGATAGATAGATAGATAGATAGATAGATAGATAGATAGATTTAAATGAAGCCTTACCCGCAGACTGACTAAACGCGAGACATGTCAGACACAGAATGAAATGACAACGCCACATCGCAGTCCTCTGATAAATCCTTTCATGAAAGACTGTACTTTTAAAATAGTTTGTCATGAAGTTGACTAACGCACTTTAACCGTGAAACAGAGGCTGTAGATGTTGCCAGCAGTGCGTGTCATACAAACGCGGAAGGTGCGCAGAGGATACACGAAGTCTGTCGCCTAGAATCACTGTGGGGAATACAGGGTCACGTGATCCTGTTCACCTGAGCGTCTCTGCAGGTACCGGTAAACGGGCGTTTATATAATTAGGCGCTATGGAGTGCAATGAAATGGAACCGAACGCAAAATACAACAATCTCGAGATGCGTTTTTAGTTTTAACTATTGGCAGATGGCCTGCTATTTGTAGTCTATCTCATTGTTGTTGTACAGTAGCCCTCAAACCGTATTCACTTTATAGCTCTTAATGTGGACAAATGTGGGCACAGAGGACTCAGGTGTGATCCTAATTTTTGTTTATTATAAATGTTATATCACTGTCTTCGATAAAGTTTTGTCTATCCATTTATGGTGTTTTTTTTTAATTTTATTTACTTCAAAAACTACCATATTTTCTATGTAAATTATTTCAATGTAAATTAATTATTATGTAGTGTATGTTTTTAACTGCATTAAAATATCATTCCAATAAGTTCTTAGAGCTAAAACCTAAAGATGAGGTGACTTTGCTGTCACCCGGTGTCTTATTTTGGCTTATTTGATATTACAGCTCTAAATTACAGTTTTTCCCATTTATTTCTATGGGTGCCCATTTTTGACCCAAATACAAGATTAAGGAGTTTTTTTTTTTTTCACATTGAATTGAGTCAAAAAAATAATAATAATTGTGTGTGTTCAGGAGGCAAACTTAGGCAAAGTAGCCAAGTCTTGTATGGCTCAGATCAAGGGAAGTATTTTTTAAAAATAAATCAAAACTATTTTGCCCACATTTGTCCAGAATACAGTTTTAGGGTTAAACGGTGTGCACCCCTACCCCTACTGATAAAGACTTTATTATAAAAATAAATAAAAATAAATAAATGCTCTATAGGTGTTAAAAAATCTATACAGGTTTGGAAATGACAGAATATTAATTTATGGCTAAACTGTCTATCCCTTTATCTTGTGGTTCAACAGTAATGTGCTAGGAGCGTACGTCTATAAACCTTCTAGCAAATAAGACTGATGAAATTACTTTATGTAAGCATCTCTGCAAAGACTGATTGTTTGCATCACAGGTGGTGTGTAGTTTCAAAGCTGTGGATCAGAGAGGACCTGAATGACCTGCTAAACAAGATCATGGTGGCCTTCAGGTCTGAGACGCAATGCTAAAGAAGAAGCATTGTGATGAAAAACACTGCAGGAGACAAACTGGAGAAAGTGAAGCACAGAAGGAGTGAACTAACAACAGCATGATAACATTTTTTTAACTGACAGCACACACACAAACTGCATTATTATTTTTTTTATGATTTTTTAAAGTAAGCAAGAAACGGAAATTGCAATTATATCTTATTCCCTATTTTGATGTACATCAGAGATCTCATGTGAGTGACAGGTTGTCCCACCCATAAAACAAAATAAACTGAATAATCAAATTATCCAAATTTATCCATTTTATTGTTATTTAAAATATATAGTTACTTAAGTGACTGATAAAATCAGTCACTTAGTTTGAGTTCACAGAGTTTGAGGCTAATGTTTAAGGCTTGAGGTGAATTATTACTTGTCCCTATAATTATAGCTATGAAACTCACTCAAAATAATAGAAATCAAATGCAATATTAATATTAAACTATTAAATTAAATTTAATACACCTACTGTACAAAACACATCTGAGATACTGATGTAAAAATAAAGTGCTGAGAAATTGGCATAAAGAATTGATTCTATAGTCATCATTTGCGTTTGAATATATGTGCGCTGGTTTTTATTTCCCTCAAGCCTGAAAAAACTACTTGTCTATAAATTTTATACAGAATTTTCTTTTATTTTATCACTTCGGGGTATTGATTCACAACACTTTATCTATAGAGTGGGTAAGGGATCCTCCATAGGGAGAGGCTAGTTAGCCCTTCAGCACTTGACATCGGGGCCAGGCTTGGGTCCTCGTCAGATGTGGATACGGCCTGGATCCGGCAGGCTGCGGGATAAAGAAAGACACTCAAATTAGCGTAGATGCCATTCTTCTTATGATGTAATGAAAGAGATTAGTTAGAAATAAATATTGGTAAGAAAGAAAAAAGAAAGAAAGAGATTAGTTAGAAGGAAAGAAATGTTAGTAAGAAAGAAAAAAGAAAGAAAGAGATTAGTTAGAAGGAAAGAAATGTTAGTAAGAAAGAAAAAAGAAAGAAAGGTGAACTTAGTTACCTGTAATCTCCACAGGTCCATTGGTTGGGCTGCTCCTGGGTTCTCTCCCAGATGACACAGCAGCGCTGGTTGATGGTTGAGCAGCAGTTTCCACTACTGGCTCGGTCTGAAGAGCATCTGTGGCTGGAGTCAGCTCCTGTTCATGAGTTTGAGGAAACTCCAGAGATGGCACAGCAGCGCTGGTTGATGGTTGAGCACTGCTGCTATCCACTTCTTCGGGGAGATCCTCATTAGCATCCACGAAGACGTCGCAGACGCTGCAATCCACTTCTTCGGGGAGATCCTCATTAGCATCCACGAAGACGTCGCAGACGCTGCAATCCACTTCTTCGGGGAGATGCTCATTAGCATCCACGAAGACATCGCAGACGATGCTATCCACTTCTTCTGGTAAAGTTACTTTTTGCATGTTGCCTAAGGAAAAATTAAAACATACATCAGAAACATCAGGCTGAAGCGGACATGAATCAGAGAGGTAATAACTAGAGACTCACAAACAATAAGTGTGCAATTGTGATTGTCAAAACATTTGTAAGCCTAACTAAACTTAAGTTTAGTGACAGCATGCACTGTAATCACAACATTTTTTCTTTTGTCAAATCAACTTAGATAATTTATGTAGTTCAGATAACATAATATTTTGAGTTTCTGGTGATTAAATTAATCTCCTTCATTGTATTAACTGAACTTAACTTTTTTTTTTAAGTTAAACAACAATATTTTTCTACAGTGTATGATTGCTGACCTTTCCTTGCAAGGGAATAAATCATCTTTAAAGACAATTGGAACATGTTTGTGGCTTATTCAGTGATTTAAAAACGTTTGCCACTACAAAATCAAACTGGTTTCTAGGTTCCATATTGTACATATATGCTAACCATATTAATAACAATCTAGTCATCTAGTAGTGTGTGCACATCAGTTGAGTTTGTATAGAACTGAATGTCCCAGCAAGTTGGTCCTAAATTTGTCCTTTTTGAACCATATAACGACATATTCTACACTTAAATTAATGTTTTCCACAATGGAATTTCAAAGCTGTCGCAATGGGCTCTATGCACGGCGTTATTTCCGGTGAAGATGTAAGGATGCTCGATAACTTCCGCCGATCATAGAGTCTCATAGAGCGAGAATTTATATTGAATTTTATACTCCATGGTTATACTAATGAAACGTTAGTCACAAAACTCGTTGTGTTTATGCTTCTTTTTAAAATTATATTTAATAAACATTACTATATATAAAATTCAGTGGTGGAATGTAACGAAGTACAAATACTTCGTTACTTTACTTAAGTACATTTTTCACGTATCTTTACTTTACTTAAGTACAATAAATAGTGCCTACTTTTTACTTTTACTTCGTTACATTTTGCAGCAATTATTATACTTTCTACTCCACTACATTTTTACAACTTCTGTTACATTTTCGTTACATTTTCTGATCAGTTTTTCCCCTGCCAAAACGTAATCTGACCGTCCGTTCGTTGCACGTTTGTCTCACCAGTGACGTTTGGTTGCCATAGATACAGTATATCAACCCGGTCACACTAAATGCGTCTCAAACGCAGGGTGTTTATCATGCAACTCATACTCGAAAACTTGTTTTTACGTGCATAGGAAACACACCGTGTGTAATATATGTTTGGTTTGGTTAGGATTATGGCAAGCCAAGAGGTTCAGAATTACACCATAAATGAATCGCGTTTACTGCCAAACTTATTAACATATAGTAAGGATAAGAATGATATTGCCTAATTGCAAGCTTGTTTCAGAAATGGTGACATTTTTTTCCATCATTATTGAACATCATTATAGGAGTAGGCTATTAGGTTGAATGAGTTAGAATTAAATGTTTTAATAATCATTAGAAAATAGACATTAAGATAATAAATTGTTATGCAAGTACTTTTACTTTTAATACTTAAAGTACATTTAAAATAAAGTACTTTTTACTTTTTACTTAAGTATGGTTGTCATTGTGTTACTTCTACTTTTACTAAAGTAAATATTTATCTGGGTATTTGTACTTTTACTTAAGTACTGAGATTCAGTACTTCCTCCACCACTGATAAAATTACATCAAACGTATGTAGCCTACGTTTCGTTTCAAAGACGGGAGGACAGTAAATATTGAAGACTCTGCCATAATCCCGTTTTCTCCGGTTTTCCTCCGCTTTAATCTACACAACCGAAAAATGGACGAGCATCCTTGAGTCAAATGCGGAACTTATGCGTGCATATAGCCCATAAAGGCATAAATAAATTTAAATCAAGTCTCTGTATTTTGCTGTCTCACTGCAGCCTATAGGAGGTGCCAGTGGGAAAACAGGTCAAAGAAATCTAACGTTATCTGTTTTAAACTCAGAGTCGGCATAAATGGGGAGTTTCTCCATCTAAAGTATTTAAAGACTTCACTTTTACCTTGAGGTTGACGCTTCTTACAGAGAACCCTTAATAAGAGTCCAGCGGTGACCAGGCCCAGAGGAATGACCAGAAAAGCACCTGAAAACAGGAGAATAATTATGATCACACATATGCAGCGTATGCAGCTCAATATAACAATGTTTTCTAAAGCACCTTCTTCTCGTCAATTAAAGAAAAACATTCATGAAAATCATATAGACTAGCCAATTTCACATAGTTTCTCCTTCCAGTAGGGCCTATGGGAAATTCGAGGCTCAATCGCGCCATCTTGAGTACCCAGCGCCCATAACAAGCACATCTAAACTTCTGATATACATTTATGTCGGATTGTGTGTCAATTCTGATTTGTATTAATTCAGTTATTAACGTTACCAGTTGAGAAGTCGTCCTAAGCGAGCATCATGTCAGTCAGTTGCCTCAATAAAAACAATACGGTAATTTTAAACATAGAAATGCATGGCAAACATTGCATGTTGCCAATATTGTTGAGAAACCTGCAGTCCAAGGCTAATGAATACAATTTGTGTCATGCTGGAAACATGGAAACATTTTTTAGTGATACCAAATATTAGCATGCTACTTTTGCGTTAGCAGCCTAAACCAAAATGTTTCATCTAACAACCTATAGATAGATAATTTAGATCCACCAATGTATTATCAAAACAAATTACAAGGAAATGTACATTGACAAGATCCTTTCATGTGGGACAAAACTTATCTCTTCAAGTTTATAATTCTGATAAATGTCATCACTGCTCAACTGCCATCAGTCAACGCTAGCAAGACAACATCTGTGACACCCAGTCGGAGTGTGATGCAAACAGTGAACGTAATGTACCCTGCATTTTTCTCAGAGGTGGATTTCGTCATCACCCAGAGCTATGTCACGCTGAGGTCAAAATTCCTAAAATGTTGAACATTCAACACTAAGAAAGGCTTTACTATGATTCAAATGTCCACTCAATACTCTCGGAATACAGACATTATTATAAAATCTGTGATTTAGACATGTTGTAACCTAAATGCGTCGACTCTTCAGGAAGTCATTGGGTTTGCAGGGTGTGGTAGATGATTGTTCATGTCAAAGCAGAGAAAGTATGTAGCCTAAATAAGGGTGGGTCGGTCTGTTAGAAGCGGACATAGTTAGAAACAGACGCAAAGCGCAAAATAAAAGCGTGGGATGGGATCAAGACATTTTTGATTATTTTTGCTGACTTATGAGAAACATAAACTGGGCTGAAATTAGCATGAATTGGAATTTTGGAAAGTCTTTATTTATTAATAAATTATTTATTTAATATGAATGCAAATTAGTCTCTTTAACCTACACTGTATATTTTTTGTTGGTTTAATGTAAAACAATAGGTAACCTGGTTGCCTTAAAATTTTAAGTTCATTGAAATGGAAAAATTGAGTTAATACAATGAAGGAGATTAATTTAATCATCAGAAACTCAAAATATTGTTACCTGAACTACATCAAGTATTTAAGTTGATTTGACAAAAGAAAAAAATGTTGTGATTACAAATCATGAAAATATTTGGGGGTTTTTTACAGTGATTTACGGGTCATACTCCTGGTGGTCAAAAGTGACCTTTTTCAGTAAAATCAATATATTTTTGTTCTAAAATATTTGTTATTTAATATTTTGTATTTTGGGGCAATTTTATGATACCAAGTAATATTTATCCAATAATACATTTGTTTCCCAATTTTTTACAATGCAATAAAAATGAACTGTGCTTTTTTGGCTGATTTATATAATTTTTGTAATTATTATTTCCCATTCATTTCTATGGCAGTTATTTTAAATTTTTCGAAGTCCGTGTTTTGTGTGTGTGTATGTTTTTACATAACATGTGCCACAAAAGTCACCAGGTGTCATACAATTCTGATGAAGTAAAAAAATAAAAATTGGTCAAAAATAAAGAGTGAATTAAAGGATTAAAATTTCAATTAAAAAAATTGCAAACTAACTTTATTTCCTTTTTTTATTGTGTGTTTTACATAAACATAGATCTATGACATTCGAGCACATGCATTTAACAATGAAGTTGAATTGAATTATATTACAAACTAGACATTCGATCATCAAAGGCTTTGGAAAAAGAACATTCCATGAAATTCTAAATGCCAGAAAGTGCAAGACCTCTGCATGATCAACTGTTGATCCAATAAAACAATGAAGTCTCAGATATTTAAAGATGACAAATCACTCATTACAGTCTATTAGACTGTGTTAACAGTTTGACAGATTGAATAAAAATAATAATAAAAAAAAAATAACAGCAACCCAAACCAAGCATTCAACATTTGGCAACCATAATAAAAAAGTTTATACAAAAAACAAACATTTTTTAACACTACTTGTAAAGTTGCTTACAGTCAAAATAATGCACATATTGCACCATATACAAATACAACAAAAATAAGAAAATTTTTAAATGAACAGAAATTTTTTATTTGGCATATTTTATTGCATTTTGTGAAAAAATTTTTTGATCCTTGTGGTATCAACCAAGTCAATAGGTTTAAATGAGAACATTTCTATTCACACACTCAGATGGTATTTTGCATCATTATTGTTATTATTAAACCACAAATATCATTTGTACAGGAATTAATGATACACAATTTCTTTAAAATCAAAAAAAGAAGAAAACTCATTAGCATTGAATCAGCCTAGTAAGAAATAAGCAACTCTATTATGACAAAAGGGCTGATTAACAGCCTGAATCTCTCCGGCCTGTGTTTACAATATTTATGTGTATTAAAAGACAGTCTTCTCATATCATCTATAATATTAAATGATCTAAAAATGTCTTCCCTACCATCACAATACATATATATATTTTTTTTTTACAAATGCAACTATTTTAAATTCCCAGGATATAATTATTATATCAGGGATAATCCTATAATACAAAAAAAAAAAAGAAAGAAATACAGGCAACAGCCAGTATAATAATAATAAAAAAAAGACAATTATTGCAATAAATCCCTGAGGATTTTAGGGGGGAAAAGACTAAATGTGATATCCACATTCACATGTTTCAAAATATGTTGCAGGTGTTTCGGCAGTATGCATTTTCTTTATCCATTGTCCTTATTAAATATCTTCCTATGTCACAATCTGGTCGGTTTAGATGTCTAAAAAGCTTTCTCTCCCGTATCCTTTCTGTAAAACACAAGCAGAAAACACCACAGGAGTCAGTGACGCTTTGAATGCAAACCGGCACATAGTTGTGTACAGGGTAGCAACACTAGATTTCATGTTTTGTTTTTTTTCACCCGCGGCGTATTATGGTGTGTTTGGACATGCTCACGGGGAAATCACCTGAAATCCACATTTCAGGTGTGGCTAAACCTCTACCTCCCCATATCAAACACAAGTGTGTTTGTGTGTTTTGGAAAAAAAGCAATACCAACATGACTGTTTGAATAAGCGGGCTGTTTTGCTTTTGATTATTTAGTATGATAAGTGTTTTCATTTGTGGGAATGTATGTGTGTATGTTGCTTTTTAAACAGTCTTCAAATTACTGGAAAATGCCTAGAGGGCAGGGCGGGAATGACAGCAACTGTGATGTACAACTATATTAGTACGTAACCCGCTAAACAAACACATTCTGTGGGTGGGTCTTTACGAGCTGACTGAAACGGATAGAAATACTTCAAAAGTTACAATTTTGTCAGTGTAAGTAGGGCTTACTGTGTAAGTCGCTCCAGGCATTGTGAGTGGTTTCCAAGGTGTTGCTATGTGGTTTCTAAGGTGTTCTAAGTGGTTGCTAGGGTATTGCTGACTGGCCCACATCAAAATCGTTCACTGTCATGTCTATAATATTCAGCGTATGCAGTGTAATGTAGCTTTTTAATTGGTTATTGAATTGAATTTGATTAAGGTTTATTGATAGTTTCCATGACAGAGCTGCCAGTTTGCTAAGATTGAAATAATTATTAAACAGCAAGTATGAACTATGCAAAAGCAGATACCCTTCAAGACTCGTTCATTTTGATTTACTAAGTAAACTAATGGACTAATGTAGGGAACAGTAAATGAGGATATGGGGTATGATTTTAGAAACAGCCTTAATGTTTTGCTTGAAAATAATAGGGGAGGTATTGGACTTTATACTGACACCTACTGGTGTGGATGAATCATACAAAACTAAACCTTTTATAAATACAACACCTATGAAATGTTTTTTTTTTTTTTCCTGGCGTATTTGTCGTCTTGAATAAAGAGAGATTAAGAGTCCACCACTAACCCTGCGTCCCAATTCGCATACTATCTGTCCTAAATAGTATTCGAAAATAGAATTAGTACGTCCCAAATCGTAGTATGTTGAAATGAGTGTTTCAAAGATACCCGGATGGTCTACTTTTTCCGGTCAGAATCCGAAGTGTAGATCGATGCACACTCTAACGGCTGATATTGCCCACAAACCATTGCGCGTTGGACGAGGATTCGGTTAGAACTACAAACACGAGTAAAAAGTGTTAAAAAACTACAGACACGTAGTCGATACGGAGGACGCGTGAGTGCCCGCGGTTGTGTAGAGAGGTTTAGATAAAGAGCTTTGAGTGATTAATTATTAGTATCTAACCTGACGAAAATGAATTTATTCAATGTTGTCCACATTATATTGCATTTGCAGCAGCATTGTGAACTTTTGTAAAGACGTTTAGCCATTACGTTTTAAATGCATCATTATATTCAAATTGCACACATGAGGAGAGCATGAAAGACCCACAACTGCCAGATGAACGTGCTCTCCAAAACGGTAGGAAATAAAATTAGATAGAATGGAGGATTTTAACTGTGACAAGATGATTGACAGGGCAGTTACGGTGACAGGATGCACGCAGCACGCGACAGAGCTGTCCGTTAAAGATGGCGTGATAGTATGTCCCAAAGCTTGTCTACTCTTTTGCTACACACTCAAAAGTATGTACTTTTTCCTCACAAAAAGAGTACATACTTTTAGGGCGTAGTATAAGTAAGCGAATTGGGACGCAGCATAAGTCTCTATAATATTCTGGTCTGTAGATATGACTCGGGTTGCTCTTTCAGTATAAATAGAAAATCGGTAAAATTTTTCAAAACTTGCAGAAAAAGAGAATGATTTGTCAAACCACATGACTTAGGGTCATTCATTACTGACACACTTTGTGGGAACAGTTACCCACTAAAGTTTAATATTTAGCGTTCTATTTGAAAATACAACAGTTTGTCCTTTATACTGACACCTACTGGTGTGGATGAATCAGTTCACAATACCATTGTAGGAATACTCAATAGATTGCAGCATTGTCTTTTTCACTATTTATTTTCATAAATTTTCATTTAGTATTTGTTAAAGAATTATAGGAGTTGTGATTCACCTCAATCAGCTTTGAGGTGAATCACAACACTATAAACTTTGATTTGAAGCGAAAAAATTAAAATAAAATCGGACAAAAAGACAAAGGTAGAAGACTAACCGCTTTAGTTAGGGAAAGAACGACACTCCAATGAAGCAAACAGCATAATCAAATTAAAAACTATGGAGAAATATAAAACTACTCAAAAAAAAAGTAAACTATATATTTTATAGTTTAAACTATATATTTAAATATTTGAGTGTAGAGAGATTGACTTAATTGCGTATTCGCAGTGCTTCATGGGAGTGGGCGGAGCTATTTATTTAGACTCTGATTGGTGTAATTTTCTGTACAGCATCATGGGTAATGTAGTTATTTTAGCTTAGTTTTAAAATAACACGATTATTTTAAAACTAAGCTAAAATAATGAGTCCTGATGTCTTGAACAGAAGCAAATTAACAACGATGTCTTTAATCCATAACAGCATCGCAGCTCACGGTAGGTCTGTCTTTAAGGGTTTATAAGTTATTGCTCAACATCAATTTCCTTTTAGAGAAAATGAACAGCGTTTTTACTTTCGACTGCTGCGCTGCATGTAGAATATGTATGAATGTACGTCGATTTTTAACATGTGTATACTTTATATGATAATAACACTTACATTTCTGTAATCTTTGTGTAGTTTCTTGTACTGGAACATGTTGCTTAGCACTGTCGACGCTGCTTTGGCAGCTTTCAGTTTGGCAGGACTGGGTGAAAATTGAATTTGCAACGTTAGTATGGAAGTAATATAACTTTTAAAAGATTTGCTGTATAGTCGGATGACTTTTAGTTTTACCTGCTGTCGTGGGTGAGCTTGATGCCCACCAGTTTGGGCAGACCATCGAAGTAGGCTATGTCCCGTGCCGCCACCATGCTGCTGGTCACCAGGTTGTTGAGGGCTCCACAGATGTTCATCACCACGTCATTTGACGGTTCCTTCTGCTGACCGTCGGAGGGGAGTTTGATGACCAAGAGATTTACCACCTTAGAAGCTAAAGTGAAAGAAAGTGATCAATGAGCTTCTCTAATGCTACCGAGGTCCGACTGACTCAAGGTTTGGGGCTAGAGAAAGAAGCCTCACCCATATCGTTCTTGTCCTTGGCATGGCGAGTGAGGTTCCTGAGGAAGCCGGTGAGAGAACGGAGCTCTGCATCTTTGTTGGTCTTGAAGAGATCCAGAATGACAGGCAACATCCTATTCTGCTCTAACGCCACACGACTCAAGATGGACGCCCACTGAGATATTAAAAACAAAAAGAAGTTTAATAGGTTGCTAGACAGTTGCTAATGTGTTCTAAGTACTAGTTAGCTAGCTAAGATGTTTGTTGCAAAGCTGTTCATGAGCGGTTGCTGTAGTGTTGATAATGCAGCGTCATCATAATTTCCGCCAATTATGTTGTCAATTAAACACTCAAGGACAAGACACCGCAAAAGTGTGCGTACTTTTCCGAAGCACATCGCGTTCGCATTGCACTTGAGTCAACATGCTAACATAGTCGGTTATATCTTTAGTAGTTTAAACAGTTAAGAAAGGCAAAGAAAGTGCATCAGTATACTGGATCCGTGTGTTATGTCTTAAAGTGACAGCAGCCTAATACTAATACAGCCTAAGCCTGCTGTCTGTATTTTTTTTTTATTTTTTTTTTTAAATCTTTATTTCGAACATAAAAAGAAAGTATATAAAATAAAACAATGTTTAAAAAACTTAGGAAAAATCAAAACAAATGAGCCGCAAAAATGTATAATTCTTTGCTGTTGACATACTTCTATTATATGTGCGAAAAGGAGTTGGAAGAAGTAAAACTTATATACTCCTACCCCTTAAATTCTTACAGTCTTACATCTACAATTTTATATTATTATTATCATGTTGTTCTATACTGTACATCCATACACCTATACAGATATATAGATACAAACATACAACCACACACACATACATTTGTCTAACCTCAATTATGTACTTATTCAAGCAGCCAAAAACAAAATAACAAATAAAATAAAAAGTACAACTAAAAATGTCAAACAAACAAAGATGTTTGTTTCTTGAAAGAAATCACTCACTGCTCTTGACTAAATAGCTTGTAACTTTAATAAGGGCTGATGTATATTAAATTTAATACCGTGAAGATTATATGAAGTGCAATTTTAGATTTGATTACTTTATTCAATTACTGAAAAGACACCTAAATAACCTGTTTGTTTTATTTGTATCTTTGCTCTGTTGTATTTATTTGTGCTGTTTGTTCTTTATTTTTATTTGACATTAGTCAACGCTTGAACAGAACCATACCGAAAACCTAACCCTAAAACTGCGATAAAAACCGAACCGTGAGTAATTTGAACCGTTTCACCCCCTAGATGCCAGGCTAAGAAGGTTTGGCTAGAAGCTAAGGTGTTTCTAGCAAGTTTCTCATATATTCTGGGTAGCTGGAGCCAACATAACTGATGTCGTGAGGTAAACGTCTTACCCTCTTGTCTCCGGCAGTGATGTTCTGCAGGGCTCCGGCCGCGGCCTCTCGTGTGGTCGAGTTGTTCTCACAGGCCTGAAGCACCTGATTGTACAGATCCACTATATTAGGGTGCCAGAGCCACTCAATGTCTTTGGGCTCCCGCGACACTTCTGTAAATGTGCCGAGGTCCTGATTTTGTCTCTGGAAGTAAAAATTAAATACGAGTTTAAGCTGTAGTTTTTGAAATTGGAATCAGGAATTTGAAAGCAGCTTCTTCCTTACGTCTTTGGCCTTCTTGCTGTTAGGGGTGAAGCAGCCGATAGGTTCTCCTTTTGAAGAGCTCTCAGCTCTTCTTGGACCCTCCAACCGCGCCAGAGACAAGGGGGGCATCTCACTGTACAGCTGATAGGACAGATTCCTCAACACACACACTGAGTTCTCCACACCCTGAAAGAGGAACACACACATGAACACGGCAATTGCAAGCCGAGTCAAAAACAGAGGCAGAAAATAAAAGTGTGTGTTACACAATTACCTTCTCTTCCACTTTAGAGTCTATCAGGCATTTCTTAATATAGCCAACCAGAGCATCTATAAGGCCTTTGGTTTCTCTCATCTGTTGTCTGGTCTTCTCATTCACTGAGCTCAAGTTCCTGTAAAAGGAAGCAGAGGCATAAATAAAAAGCTGAATCTCAAGAAAACTCATATTGTTTCACCCAAAATTAAAAAGAGGGAAAGATAAAACAAATTATATATTATATGTTATATATTCTCACTCCATTCCCATGGCTATCTGCCACATCCTGCTTGCAACATTTATATTACATGTTTTTTATTGTAAAACATTTATTTGTAGTCACTATTATTCTCGGTGAGGTTTGTTACATCCTAAACTAAAGTTATATATATATTAAAAATATATATAGTCCCAAAAATCATCTTTATTTTCTGTAATAAAAAAGGTGAGGTAGTTAATTTCTACAATTACTTACTGTAGTAATAACAGGACATTATACATAATTACTAATTAAAATTAGTTATACAAGTAACTATCCCTAAACCAAACCCTAACTGTACATAGTACATGCAATTAATTGATATTACTTATTTGAGTAAGTACAATGTAACTATCACCTTAAAATAAAGTGCAACCCAATCCTAGTCCTAAATCTAAAAAAAAATAATAACAAAAAATATATATTTTACAATATAACCATCCTAAACTTAAACCTAAAAATAACAGTCCTAAAAATAGGCTTCATTTTCTAGAATTTTTTAAATATAACATTTTTTTCATAACAATGTTCTAAAAATAAGTCCAAAATAGTCTTAATTTTCTAGAATTTTTTAAATATAATTTTTTTTCATAACAATGTTTTAAAAATAATAGTCCAAAATATAGTCTTAATTTTCTAGAATTTTTGAAATATAATTTTTTTTCATAACAATGTTCTAAAAATAACAGTCCAAAATATAGTCTTAGTTTTCTAAAAAAAATTTAAATATATAATTTTTTTCATAACAATGTTTTAAAAATAACAGTCCAAAATATAGTCTTAATTTTCTAGAATTTTTTTAATATAATTTTTTTTTTCATAACAATGTTTTAAAAACAACAGTCCAAAATATAGTGTTAATTTTCTAGAATTTTTGAAATATAATTTTTTTTATAACAATGTTCTAAAAATAGCAGTCCAAAATATAGTCTTAATTTTCTAGAAATTTTGAAATCTATTTTTTTTTCAGAACAATGTTCTAAAAATAACAGTCCTAAAATATTATTTCTTTTTGGATTGGGTTTTGGATTGAAACATGACTCTTAAGAGTTCTTGTTCTCAGGTTTCCTATAGCTGTGATCTGCCTAGAGGGGATTTTCATTCACTGAAGTTTGATGAAGTTCCTATAGGAACAGGAAGTAGTAAAGGAGAACTCAAAAAAGTGTGTGTGTGTGTGTGTGTGTGTGTACCTGAGACAGCCAGTGGTGTTGTTAAAGATGTCGGACTCTGAGGCGGACAGCTCAATGATCTCCCGTTCCCCAGTGCCAGAGAGGGGAATCAGAATCGTCTCCGTCAAATCGGGAAGAGTTTCCTGTGCCAACCTTTGTTTCAGGTTATCCTTAGAGGAAAGATTCCACAGAATACCTACAGCGAATGAGAGCAGGAGGGAGACAGATAAAGAGGAAAAGAGCATGGGAAAGCGGCATGGGAAATAGATAAGAATTTGAAACAAACAAAAGAGAAAAAACAGAGGGAAATAAATCAAGAATCAAAAATGATTTACATCTTCTCATCAAGATATCAACCTCCTAAAAGCCCCATTTTTAATCGTGGTGTTCTCATAGATGCATGTTTATTGAGATTCCTGCACATCCAGACACGCACAGAGCCGTGAGCACTGGCATAAATCTGACTCACGAACCTCCGCGACAGGAGTCCGCTCATTCCACGGCACATGTCGAGACAGCGCTTAGTAATAGTTAATGCAGCTTGATGCAACACCGAGAGATCGGTCAGCGCCAACATACACACACATCTAGACTGACTTTGAAAAAAACTGTTCGAAAGTGACTTCTGTGTGTGAGCTGCGCTTCATTCAGCACCACATGATTAGACAATGGACCTTTTTTCCCAGCAAAATTTCTCAAATTTCACTTGTGAATCATGTGATTGCACATTGAAGGGAAAGTTCATGTCGTTTCAAACCCGTCTTTCGCCTTCGGAACACAAATGAAGTTATTTTTAGAGTTTAATATTTGGAGTTTAATGTTGGAGATTCGTAAATATATATATATTTTTTGTGCAAACCAAGAACTTAATTTTTTGGGTGAACTATCCCTTTAACTCTCAGCTATAATCTACATAAATTATGACTTTTGCCTCAATAAACTCCTAATTACTGCTTATTAATAGTTGGTAAGGTAATTAAGTTTAAGTATTGGGCAGGATTAGGAGTGTAGAATATGGTCATAAAGAATAAGGCATTTATATGTGCTTTATAATTACAAATTCACACCCAAAATCCTAGTAAAGTGCATGCCAACAAGCAACTAGTTAATAGTCAGAATTGGACCCTGAGCTAAAGTTATATAGAGTATTTGTTATGCTGGACAGTTGTTAAAAAAGGATGTAAAACAAAAGACTGATAAACTACGACTTGAACCCATTGCGAAATCTGCATCTTTCATGCTTAAGCAAAATTCCTGATCGCTTGCATTACTAATAGTCATTCTACTGAAATGACTGGATTTTGCCCTCAAAACCTGTCGAATAACAGTAAATTTGGCCGCACCTTTAGGTTTCTCGTGGGAAAATTAAGCTTTTTGATGCAGCCCAAGAAATCAAATTCACTTAAAAGGCACAGGTGAAAACGTTTGTTTAAATCCTGGTATTAAGATGCGTTTTGGCGATGGGATCACAAGTGGACGACACTAACACAGGTATAAACAGGGGCTAAACCAGTGGTTCTCAAACTTTTTCAGGAGGAGGCCCCCTTGTGTAGGGTGAATCCCTTTGTGGCCCCCCAAAAGAAAACTCATAACGAAAACATCCTCAAACGTACAATTTTACTTACAAATTTTAGATTGAACCAAAAACAAATGAATTTGTACAATGCTGGAACAACAGTTCTGTTTTTATCTTTATGTCTTTGAATATACAAAATTAGTTAAATTGTACATTTCATTAAATATACCATTTTTTTTTATAAAAAATGGTTTTGACAGTTAACAGTAATATTGTCTGAAAAGTGCAACAAAAGTATTGAATACTGAACATTTGTGATGTTCATAGTAAAAGATAAACACTGAAAAATTAATTTGCTGATTGTAAAAAAGTGCATTAAACTTCTTACATTTTAAGGTAGTAAATGACAGTGGCTCAAGTTTGGTTTGCAAATTTGAACAGCAATCTGTTTTTTTCAGCAAGAAACAAAAAAAAATTCTACTCTACTTAAAGAAATACTTTTTCAATATAGAAGACATACAATTTTATACAAGTTTTACAATATAAAAGAAATCATGCAATGCAGATTTCACATAGGACAATCCAAACTTACATACAGGTAAAATAATTTTTTTAAATAATTTCATATTCTAGAATTTCTTTGCAGCCCCCCTAGCGCCATCTAGTGGCCCCCCAGGGGGCCACGGCCCCCAGTTTGAGAACCGCTGGGCTAAACGTTTTGAGCTTGTCCACTTTCAACCACTTCCAGGGGTAATCGAAAACACATTCAACCGGGTCGCTTTCGTAGTGTAAACACTCAAGTGGTCAAATGCGTTCGTACCGCCACAAAAAAAAAAAAACGTCTACTGACCTTATGCGTAAAAATTATGGGAAGTGCTAGCCAGACGGGATTTAAGCCAGACTGTGCGCATTCATATGTACATTTCACAAGTTTATTTTGTTTCAAAAGATCTGTAAAAACCCATTTATTTACACACTCATAGTCCCTCCCCTTAAAGGTCCCGTATTATGCCCCTTTTCACAAGATGTAAAATAAGTCTCTGATGTCCCCAGAATGTGTATGTGATGTTTCAGCTCAAAATACCCAACTGATCATTTTTTACAGCATGTTAAAATTGTCATTTTTCGGGGCTCAGAAAAATGCGCAGTTTGAGTGTGTGCCCTTTAAATGCAAATAAGCTGCTGCTGCGGCCGGCACAGGGGGCGGAGCTTCATGAGCTCGCGCTCAGGCCCCCGTCCACACTACTGCGTTTTCGTTTAAAAACGGAAACCTTTTGCTACGTTTGCACCTCCCGTCCACACTAAAACGGGAAAAACGAAGACCTAAAACGGAGAAGTTTAGAAACGCTGCAGCTGCGTTTTGCGTTTTGAATCTCCGGAGGGCGTTTTAGTGTGGACGAGACGAAACGGAGGAGTTTACAAACGATGATGCAGAGGCTCACGCTCGGCTCTATGATTGGGTGTCATCAGTAGGGTTGGGTATCGTTTGAATTTGAACGATTCTGATTCCGATTCCTTGTTTCGATTCCGGTTCCTAAAGATTCTCGATTTCCGATTCTTTTAAGAGGCAGGGTCAAAAAAGTTTAGCTAACCTTGCTAACCGACAGTCTTTCTGAAGGAAATACTACTTTCTGAAGGAAATACTACTTTCTGAAGGAAATACTACTTTCTGAAGGAAATACTCCTTCTGTCACAAATTTTGCCGAGATTTCGTTATTTTTATAAAAGTGAAGCCACACTTTGGACCGCCGACGTAAGCTACTCATGTTCGACTCGCGCGGTTATGCCAACACTTCCGGTAGACGCTTCTTCGTTGGTGTTGTTCAGCGGTTTCTTCTTCCGCTCGGTGGACTGCGAATATTGAAACTAGGAATCGAAATTTTAACTTTTGAACGATTCCGGGAAAAACGAAAAGTTAGTCCCGGTTCCAATTGATACTCGATAGTCGATACCCAACCCTAATCATCAGTCATGACGTGTCCTTGCTTGATTCGCCAACCACTGTTTACACCGGCGCATGTCCAGTGTTGGTGAATGGTCACGTGATCTGCGTTTTCAGTCGTTTTAATGTGGACGGAGATCAATTCTAATTCGCAGACAAAACGCTGGTGTGGACGGAGATCGTATTCGTTTTAATTCTCCGTTTTTAAACGAAAACGCAGTAGTGCGGACGGTCCGAATGATGATCAAACATATCCTGATGAGTTTAATAAAGTTTATTGTACATCACACAAAAGATGAAGCGTCAGTTTTACAAGAGCTGAGTAAACACAGTACGTTATAAGAAGTGCGCAAGTTGAGGGAGTTGAGGGAGCATTCCTGTGGGCGGACGTTCGTCAAAAAACTGTTCTACTGACGTCATTAAAGAAGGAAGTAGAGGGATGTAGTCCAAACGGGCCGATCGATGTAGGCTACTTCTTTTAAACAAAATATCTCACTTGGCATTGAACTTTGAGCTTTACAATTTTACAGATATTATTTATACTCTAACAACAACAACATTACACACTAACTAAAGTTTGAAACATGGGATCACGAAGAACGGGACCTTTAAAGCAATCAGGACAGAAGTGGTTGAAAGTGGACAAAAGAAACACCAGGTGTAAACGGAAATGTGTCTCCCTCGTCTACTTGTGATCAGATCAACCAAAACGCATCTTAATACCAGGTGTGAACTAAAATGCAAAACATGTGTTCCAATGGCAATTATAATGGGAGTAAATGTAACTAGAACAACATCGAGTGAAACGCCCACCTGTGATGTTCTTGTGGAGTTCGTCGTCTTTGTCTTCTTTTAGGGCCAGGATGAGTTTGGGGATCCCGCCGGCTTCAATAAGGCCCACTTTGTTATCCATGTTCTCATAGATGAGGTTCCTGGTGGCGCCGGTCGCGAAACGCTGCACTTCTATGCTGTCACTGTTGAACAGACCCACCAGGCGAGGAATTCCCTTCAATATGTTCACCTGAAACAAACACAGACGTTCAAATCGAAGACACATTTACACATTTCAGTTGAATGTTTCTTCAGATGAAAAGCAACTGTGTACCTGTTTCTTTGCTTCACTATTACTGTAACACTCGTGTTGGATGTAGGCAGCTCCCAACATCTGAACTTCAGGATCGGGGTCATCAAGATTGTTTATGGCAGAAGGCAAGTCCAAGCTGTCAAGTCTATACAGAAATAATTGAACATTTATTTAGTAAATTTGTCCTGTAAAGATGGCGGTACTGCTTAGCTGTATATGTTCATATTGTAGGTTTTCTTCAATGACTTTACCCAGCGAACAGAGGAGTTTCTCAGGTCTTTAGCAAACGTTTTGGCAAGGTTCTCTTAACCCTTGTGCATCCTTATGGACCTTTTTATCGTTTTCAGTTTTTTTTTTTTTTTATCACTTTGCCTGTGTTAAAGCTAACTGCAAAAAACGTGGCACAGGTATGTATTTTTATTGGAATTTTACTATTTCACCGTCATTTTCTTAAAAAAATATTTTTTTCATTAGGTACAAAAAAATACTCCCTCTCAGCACATTTTGGACAAAAATGTCCCCATTGAAACCCATTAAAACTGCCATTTTTAATCCCCGGTTCAGTTAACTATAAAATTATGCAATCTTTGTTAAGAGGCTTTCATTCTGATGGCAAGGCTTCAAAATTAAATTTTTTACTATTTTTTATCAGATGTTGCCATTTTTTTAAACAAATATCGCTTTATTCCTGTTTTCTGGTTCGGCATACTACAGAGCCAACTGGATAAATTATGCAACAATATTTTAGTGGGTGTGTTGGTATGGATGTCAGAGTGTGGTTAGCATGTGTGTTATAAAAAAAATATGTGTGTGTGTGTGCGCATGTGTGCGTTTGTAATACTGAGAGAGAAAAACTGCAAATTCAAATCCAATCACTGTGAGCTCCAGTGGGGTTTTGCTGGGACCCAATGGGGAAAATATGTTACTACGCCCAAACAAACTGTTACCGAAAGCTCATTTTTTGAGATATCATCCTCAAATTTGGAACACAACCTATTTAGATTTATGGCTTTGATTTTATTGCAGTTTTGAGTTCAACCTGATTTATAAAATATATATTTTATATAAAATATTTTTTTTTTTATAAATAATTTTCATAAACTTATACCTATATAGCTTTTTTTTTAGATTTACTTATTATTATTTTTTTACTTCAGCAATAATCTGCAAAGGGTCTTCTTTAAAATGATAGCAAACTTAAGTCTGTGCTCCAAAGCGTCACATTTTTTATGACAGTTTTTTGACATGGACATTTTTTTCCTCTTTTTACCTATGTGTAACTTTTTTTAATTGATGCACAAGGGTTAAAGTTACAAACCAACGTTCTTCCAGTAACACTAATGCAATGTTTGTTCAAAGATATCTCGTCTTGTCTATTAAAAATGTTAGCACAAAAACGTTATGTATACATTGTTCATTGAAAGTTTTCCCATAATGTTTGAAGAGTGATACAATGGAATGGTTGCCTTAATGTTCACACAAAATTGTTTTTTAAAGACTGTTTTGAACGTTCAGAGACTTAATGGGAATGTTAGCAAAACGCTCTTAGCGTGTCGTTAGCATGTGAAATTTAGCAATGAGAATCCAAGTTTCCCAATTCCCAAGCTCTTCTCAATGTTTCCAAATATTGTAAAAAAACAAAAACAAAAAAACACTATTCGTTTCAATTTGAGCCTAGAGTGATGCTTAAAGAAAAGGTTAGAAGGTTATTCCTTTGTCAGGTAATCGATAGACTAGCTAATCTTAGCTTCTTAACTAGTACTACTTCCATTTTAAGAGTCAGCATTATTTGAAAAACGTTTTGCCTAAGAGGACATTCCTCTACGTTTGTTTGTGTATGCTAGTGTATGTCGCTGGAGTGCTAGGAAGTTTGTGTGTTTTTTCCCAGGGTGTGTGAAGTGTGAGGTGGCTCGACTGGTTTGGGTGTGCCTGCACAACAGACTCGCTTTTCACTTTTTTCCACGCATATGGGCAGGGCTGGGCACATCAAACACACACACTCACAGTGTTAGCGCAACAAGGACCGATAAGCTAAGTGTGGGTGTACTGTCAGGCTGTTAAAGCAAATATGAATAATTTGTTGCTTCAAAGGTCAGTGCTGCACTCACTGTGGGTAATCACCGTTAGCCATACTTGCACACCTAGCTTAGTGTTTTAATGAGAATAGCTAACAGGCTAATTTGCAAAAAGTAATATGCAGTGTTTGTTGTAAAACATAGTGTGGCTCAACTATAGCTATGGTGCATAATTCAGGGAATTTTTGACTGACAGTAATAAGGACGGGTTTGGTGGTAAGACATGTAATTTGTGGTTGGACACATGTTATTTGTGCATTTTAAGCAATTAGACCCACTTTTACACTAGAGTAAAAATTGCGTTTTACTCTAGTGGTGCTTTACGCTAATGGTGCTAGCATACTACTTTTATTTACATATTTAAATGAGCAGTATATCCAAAATCTTTTCTTATCTGGAGTGTATACTCCAGATAAGATAAGATTTTGGATATACTGCTTTGAAGAGTGATATATATATATATATATATATAGATATATAGATATGTACATATATAGATATATATGCTACCATGACTTTTTTTAATATATAATCAAATTTTTCCCATTACTTTAATTAGATCATGTTCTAATTTTGTAATCATTAATTTAATGGGCAGAAACCAAAAGATAAGATCTGGTGTTAGCATAAAACCCATAAAACAATAAAATCATTCAACATCTTTCTTCATTACATTCACCCAATCCATTTTATGTAATTCATCTTATTGTAAATATAGGTTTAATTTTTTTTAAATACTGCAATTTTTAATCAAAATGTTGTAACGCGAATCGCGATCTCCCGGTGAATTGACAGACTTCTTTCTTTTGACATATACTAGGCTTCTTCGAAACTTTTATCAGCTTAGCTCCACCCCTTTCTAACAATCGACTACAATCTCGCATTCAACAACTGAAGTATTGAACCACATCCCGCACTCTTTTTATTCAAGATAAGCCATTTTACTCAGACGTACGTCTCTATACGGAAGAAAAAAAATATGCTACTTGCTTCTCATCACAACTTTAATAAATTCTTCCTTGCCTTGACTTATTTGGGGCGTTTCGCCATTTCGCTAGTTTCGATATTCTCACACACCTTAGGTAAGTGTTCTTACCCTTGTAGATTGCCCATGCTTTCCGTGAAATCCATGCCATCAAACACATCCTTGCCTCTCCCAACACTTTGCATACTCCTTACGGAGCCGGCACGCGACAGCCTTCCCTGCTGCACCAGCGCCAGGTTGCCCTGGGAGCCACTGAATCCCGCAAGACCTCCGTACATGCTGGCTGATGAGGCATTGGCCGTTTGGCGGACCGTTTGCCGATTGTTGATTCGGCTGATGGTGCGGTGGGCGGGGCCTTTGTAGGAGTGCCGGCTGACGTAGACCTCCTGCTCCATGCCTCCTCCGCCGCTAGAGGCGAGCGTCCCGCTGAGGGAGCGTTTCATGGCCGGTAGCGTCATGGAGCTGACCTGCTGCTGTCCGCTTTCATATCCGTTCACTCTAGAGGTGGCGTACATGGACGAGCGTGGGAAGGTTTTGGCAGCATAGCCGTTGTTCACAGAAGGCTGTTGTGTAAAAACGGCATCACGGTCAGAAACTACGCTGCCGTCGCTGTCATCCTGTCCCACCCAAGAAGCAGTAACATGGCGTGGCATGGATGCCAAACGCATGGAATGCATCGACACCGTCTCCGGGTCGCCCCCCATGCGGCTGAAGGAACGAGTCATTGCGCCGACCTGCTGCAGTTGAACTGGGCCACCGCCAGCTTGGTATCCGGCAGTTTGGTAACCGCCACCTTGGTAACCGCCACCTTGGTAACCGTCAGCTTGGTAACCGTCAGCTTGGAAACCGTCAGCTTGGAAACCGCCGCCCACCACCTCATCCTGGTAATATGTCCCGCCTCCGCCTCCTCCTCGTGCTGTGTAACTCATTTTGGTTCTTGGGGCAAAATCAATGGCAGAGCGAGATGAGAAACCACCACTAGAGTACTGGGATGGACGCTGCGCCTAATGGAAACAAGAAAATTATGAATATTGAATATCTGTTACGATATCAACTATACCTATCGATTGATTGAAATGTAATGGAATTATATATGTTGATTAATTAATCAATAGAAATGATATTAAAGGGTTGGTTAACCCAAACATTTTTAAGTCTGTCATTATTATTTAACCTCATACTGTTTCAAACCTGTAAGACATTCGTTCATCTTCAGAACACAAATGAAGATCTATTTAATTAAGTGATTTCTGTGGTTTCAGTTCCTCCATTGACAGTCTTGGCAACTACCACTTTCAAGGCCCAGAAAGGTAGTAAAGATGTCAATAAAGTAATCCATGTGACAGGGATTTGACCTCAATTTTTTTGAGCGCTTAAAAGACAAGTGTGGCATTTTACACTTAAAGTCCTGTTTTAAAAGGCCTTATATTGCAGGGTAGAGGTCCCAGAAAGTCAATGTATAGATATTTTAAATATACTTGTGAGAACTTGCATTGGATGTGGTACGGAAATTGGGGTTGTTTGTATTCTTCTGCTTCTTCTGTGTTTTCAATGAAAAACCAGTGGTTTGCTTGCATTTGGCAAAGGTGCATTATCGCCATTATTACCACCAAATAGCAGCAAGAGTGTTTTACAAAACAACATGATAGCATTTAAAGACACCCTCTGAAGTGTGACCCATACATTTAATGCATTTTTAATACATTACATCAACAGCCCAAATTTAAACACAGTATTACTCAACAAGAAAATAACTGAAAGTGACGCTTAGAGATTTGTAAGCTTGTGACTTTCATATGAGGTTGAGTAGAGCTGGCCTGTGAAATATCACACCTAACTAACACAATCTCCATTGCTCATTTTCAATATTTGGACAAGATACACGTCCATACAGTCACACACAAAAAAGATTTCTTTAACTTAGCTCAATGCGTGGTACACTCTTAGAAAAAAGGGTTCAAAATATGTAGCATAGGGTTCTTTACTCAACTGCAAAGGACCTTTTATGCAAAAAAAAAAAAAAATGATGATAATGACATGTCATAAAGGTTCTTTATGGGCTATTTTTCATTCATGTATTACATTATTCTGCAACATTTTTGCAGTTGTAATTAAATTATTGTTTATTAAACTGTTGTAGTAACTTAATATCCCATTTTAAAAATATCCCATTTTAATTACATTTTCTAACCCCCATATCTTGAATTTTGTGATCATTCATGCATTGCATTTTAGGGGTTCCAAATACGTAGCGCTTTAGAACCTTTTAAGGTTCTATATAGAACCTTTTCTTCTAAGAGTGTATGTCTTTCAAACAAGCAAATGACAATAAAATATTTATGTTTACAAGTGGGAATAATCTTACCACCATTGGTCTGCCGGAGGAAATGGATTTAGAGCTGAAATTTGGGGTGAAGTTTTGGCTCATTGTTGAAAACTTTGTCATGGTAGAATAATCCCCAGACTCTAAGAAAAGAAAAATACAGAGAGTTAATAGAAATGTTCATCGGAATGGGGATTTTTGACTGTGAAAAACATATTGGACTAGTTATCCAGTGATTCTACATCACATTCTACACGTTTCTGAACATAGCAGCTTAGCTATAGTGTGTTTTAATCAAGAAAATAAAACTCATGATCTTAACTTGACATTAAATTACACAATTGGTGTAACTATTAAAACCAGCTATTAAACCAAAGATCCTCATTCTCCAAAAATTGCATTTAATCAGCAATTCCTGCACTTCCGATCTCTAAATGTTTTGCCACTTTAGTTAAAAAAATAAAATAAATTTCTCCAAAACATTATGACCAATCAGGTAGCATTGACAACCAATGAACAAATGAAAAGCTTTTGATTCATAAAATGATTAACCATCCACACAACAAAGCTATTATAAGCATTGAGTATTGTAAACATGCATGCACTTTCTTTAATACAACAATTAAACGAATAACTTTGTTGTTTTGTTTCCCTTTAACCAGTTCATGACGCCTTTGTACGCAAGTTTGTACACAAACATCCATTTTTTTCTTTGATGGAGCTCAAACAAATGCTATTTTGATTGCGATAGCGTTGGATTTTTTGTTTATGTAAACAGTTAAACGAACAAATTGGTTGTTTCGTTTAAATTTCGTAATGTTTACGACAGCTTTTTTATTTTGTTTCATGTTTTCGATACCAATGCGCATTTGTTTGTACATCTATTTTGTAAACTTGCACAATAGTTCTTTGATAGTTAGTTTGCTTCCTTGTTGTTGGGTTTATGACACCATGCGTGTTAGTTTGCATGTCTTGTTTGGACGGATAGCATAACAGTCTGTGTATAATTAGCAGTGGGAAATAAGTTACAGACGTTCAAATGTAAAGCCGAAGATTCATGCCCCATAAAGACATACAAATCTGTAACTTTACAGTCAGTGTGCTCAGCATTTGCCCTTGATGACCCTGCAATTACAATGTGAGGCAAACTTGTAGAGTTACACAAAATACTGCAGCGCAAGCTTACAAATTTTTTTATTTTTTTTGTTCTGGCTCAGCAACAGATAGGGTTGCATCTATGGGCATGCATGTACACGCGTTTGAGAACGCGAATTTGGGAGTGGTATAAGTGTTTTAAGAGTGAATAAGTGTAGAGTGAGTTGTAGACAACATCAGCAGAATAGACAGAACCGGTCTGATGACTGGGACACTCCCAATGTCCCTACCCAAAAAACACACACCCATTTCCCTGCCTCGCCCTGCCCTACATTGCATAGCTGATTCAAACACAAATAACTATAGCCAACCAAGTTATTTGCACCATGTTCAAAATGCATTGTTTTAAAATGATCCACTTGACCTACATCTTTAAAAAAATATATTGTTTCACTCAAACTCGTACCATATGCTTGGTATTCGCCATTGTCAGATCTAGTTCAGACATTCTCAAGACGACTTCCAGGAAGCCTTGGGCCAGTAGCAGGAATATGCAAGGCTGTTCGAACTTGTCAAAATGCAGGTACCTCATAAACCAGAGGTCCGCTGGATAACGTATCCGCTAAGCACCTGAAAATAGCTGCGGCAGACCTTCATAAAGCCAGGAATTCAACCCCTTTTTGTTCTAACCACTTAAATCAATCACAAATTCTTTAAATGCGTTTGAGTGCATTCAATGGATGGCATATTACACACAACTGTGTAATGAAGTCAGAGTTTCGCTAAGGTCGTGGACTGAAAGAGTTTGGCTTTCTACATTGAGAAAGCAAAACCCTCAGGTTAAATTCTTTGGCTTTTCCATCACGCCAGTTGATATTCATGGCATTATGATTGACGGCACCAAATAACCTCCCTTTTGTGCGATGCTAAGCACTTTTTTTGTTTGGCGTGGGTTGGGATTTTTCAAAGGAGAGCTTTGAAACTTTCACTTAGTCGTGTAACAGGAACTGAGATTACACTTGAACCTTGCTCAACTCGCCCCTGTAAATGATTCACACCAGACCAGAAGTGTTGTATTTCTGTTTGCTCGGCAAGTGCCAGTTATTTGTCCTTTTTGTAAAACAAAACTTTGCTAATATCCATTCTAATCGCTTAAAAACGTTCCCAACCCTTTTTATCCCCTTCATTTTAATTCCCATGTTCAAGAACAATGGTGAAACTAAATCTGCCACGCCTGATGCGAGCGAACCACCATTTACGACACTGCTTTTTATTATCAACTGAAACAAAGGTAGCCTGCCTTCCATTTAGTTTAGCTTAAAGGTACATTCATCATACTAGTCATGCCATGCATTATGTACAAATGCCGTGTGAACTTTTGTCTTAAATAACAGAAATCATGTGACCACAGTTTTGCATTGTCTCATAAATATTTAATGTTTAAATAGTACAATCAACTTTAAGGATGTTTAAGTCATTTCAAATTAAATTACACTAAACTGACTTTGACTCTGAGTTGAAGCTTGTATAACTTATAAAAACGGTTAAAAATTGCTTAACTTATTTTGATGAGTTCGTGCAAAGTAAAAACATGTGCTGTCGTAACTTGATTACTATATAGATAGATAGATAGTTTTATGTAATGCATCTATTTTCAAGGCAGAAAATAATTTAGAAAAATACAAATTATTGGTCATATATTGCTTGTGAAATCAAGTTCAATAATAAACAAAAAAATAAAAAATAATAATGACTCCAAAAGTTAATAATGACGAAATTCAGCTCCGGATCATTGTTTAATGAAACCGCATACTGTAGGCTATACAAGCACAGCACAAAGTCAGATGATGAGCAGATTAATAATTCAAAGGCTGTTGTGTTATTGTAGCTGTATTACAATGAGATCAAAGCTCACGGGTCGGGGACACACCTGAGGCTGCGTATTGTGTCGAGGATCCGTTCTGGCGCGGGAGCGTGGACTTCTCCCTCAGTCTCATGGTCACCTGCTGGTGCACGCGCTTAAACCTCGCCTCATCCTTTGCGTGAGAGCCGCCGTGCGCGAGCTCGTTTTCGGACGGAACCGCGTAAGTACTGACGGTCGAGTTGGGCTGCAAAGCCGACAGAAAGACGTTATCCGTGGTCACGCTCACACTCATTGCGACGCGACGATGGAACCGAGCTGAAAAGTTACAGTCCCACCAGAGAAAGTGGAAAGAGAAAGTTCCCCGCAATAAAGCAGTCTTTGGTTGGTCAGCTTGTGTTTCTCTGCGCTGGTGCTGGAACTGTGAGGAAACGCACTATTGAGGTTTGATCTGAACTAGGCTTTTTCGCAGGTGGGAGTTAAAGTGGGCGGGGCTTAGCTGAGTCATCGGTTACCTGAGCCAGGTACACTCATGAACGAACACAATTTACTAGTTTCCATATCAACACAATATAGAGAAATAAATGCGCTACAATTCAGAAATCTTCGGAAGATATCACTGACCGTTTATTGAAACATAGCAAAATGTAAATTTGTCATCTCTATTTTTAGTTTATTTTAAATGATAAAACTCTGATAACATTTTAATCTCCAATAATATGTTATTTGACAGTTATGGTTCTTTAATGCTTCGCTAACTAGCAGAAGACACGAGGGTTTAAATCCCATGTGCTGGTGTGGAATTTTGATTAGAACTATTCTATTCTTTTATGCATTTTATTGAGAAAACATGAGAAAAATGTGAATAAAGGCTGGGAGTCAATGTTCAGAAATTAATATTAAGTTTTGAACTGTTGTAGGTCAATGCTGTGTTTTCCGATGCTGTCAAACTCAAAAAAAATAATAATAGGCTAATAATTTTAGTTATTAAAAAAATGGCATTATTTTATATGAAAAGGTTCATAATTGTATTTTATTGAGAAAATATTTTAGTCTGTCTTGTATATATTTTTTTGATTAATTCAGATTGCATTTTAAGCTATCATATAGCCTATGGTCATGTTACAATGAACATGGGGGATGTCACATTTCACTTCCATTCTTTCGGGGTATATCTATCAATAAATCAAAACCATAATTGTTCTAGACATGTGGGAAATTAATGTGGGAAAAAAAGAAATACTCTGAACCCTAAATATTTACACAAACTGAGAAAGTCTAAAAGCGTTAGGTTGTGCCGCGCTCTCCCTTATAATAGTATAACATCTGTATATGACAATGTAGCCTACTATCGGTGTGATAGTAGGCTACAAAAAATGATATGATCAATAAGTTATAAGACAACATATGCTTTTACATTACGCAATTTTCAACTTCTTTTATAGCTAAGTTATACAAGATTCAACTCATTTTTTAAAGTCAGTTTAATATCAATGTTAATGTTTAATGTCACTTATTCTTTTAGTTTTTTATTCATTACAGTTTTTAGAAATAAATTATACAAATATGTTTGAATTATGAAAATAATAACTATTTTTTGGTTACCTGACAAACATTATTTACAGTGTAAATAAAAAAATGGCATGCAATTAAATAACATGGCACGTTTTAACAGCATATACTTTCATTACAGTCAATACTTAAATAAATAAATTCGTTCTTCTAGCATCTTGTCGTCACTGCAATGATAGTTCGAAGAGAACGCGCTCTAACATGCAGGTGACGTATGTCTCCGTTTGAACAGGTTGTTGTTGTTGTATCGTCGCCTAGCAACGAGAGAAGCCGGAAAGCGCGGGAGGTCATGCTGTTTTAACATTTTTCTTCATCTATTACCGTAACAAACCTTCGCTTTCTATGAAACTCGTTGCAGAACTAATGTAAACTAACAGATGAAAAGTAACGATAGGCTACTTTACAACGGTATTTTACCAAAGGCATAAACTCGATTTAGCTTTAGATTTGAAATAAGATTTAGAGAAACTCAATAGCCTATAATCATTTGCAGTTCTGTGTCATTTTACACAAAAATTAAATTCTATTTATACTAGGCCTGTTTCCTAACGCAGATGGTCATCACAGGAAATTTCATTGGAAATGTCATCATTTATAAAAACAAGCTTCATTTGTAACTTTCCTCACAAAGTGATCAAGTCCACATCACTCACTGAGTCACTGTGATACTAGATTTCTGTTTAGACAGCATTTCCATGCTTGTTCACAAAACTGAATCATGCTAGTCCATAAGACGACAATGTTAATAAAGTATTGAAAGCTGATCAAATAAACAGGAAGTGTTTGCTTTTTTCTTGTACTCACCAATCTTTGTTCTCTATCTTTTCAATCTTTGTAGAGATAGTTCCAGAGCTGAGAAAATGTTGTTGGGCTGTATATTTATTGATCTCTCACACAGTTCGCTTGATAAAATCTGACGGATGTAACAGAGAGACAAGAAGATATAGAATCGGCATGCAGTGAAAACGCCCTTATCACGATTAAAACAGTTCACGTGTGTATTCGTGATCACTATTGTGGTTACCAATCCCCTGAATTAAAAGAGGTGTGCGTTTGTGTGTGTGTGTGTGAGATTAGGTGACAGACAGACAGTTGTGGAGAGAAAGAGACAAAATGGGTGAGTCTGCAGATGTAGGTGTGATGCAGATGTCAGGCAAGGAGTGAGAAGGGTAAAACAACCACACAAAAAAAAAAAATACAGTTTCACAGAAATAAATGGTAAATAAAAAAACTGGCAGTTGTGGATGCCAAAATAATTCTGTAAAACTGTAATAAAAATGTTGTTTGGTTTAACTTAAAAAAGTTTGAGTTCTTTGAAATTAAAAATTTAAGTTACTACAATGAAGGGTGAAATCATCAGAATCTCACAATATTATGTTATTTAAACCACACTCCAACAATGCGTTGTTTGAAACCCAAATTTGGGTAAAATATGGACAAACCCAAAAGTTGGGTTAAAAATGCAATTTAAAATGCAACTTTCAACTTTAATTTTTTTTTATTGCATTTTTAACCCAACATTTGTGTTTGTCCAAATTTGACCCAAATTTGGGTTGAAACAACCCAGCATTTTTTAGAGTGCACTTTATCTAAGTTGATTTGACGAAAGAAAAAAAGTTGTCATAAATCATGAAAATATATTTTAAAAAATGTATTGTGTGCCGGTAAAGAGAAAACCACATGATGAATCAAAGTTCAAAAAGTAGTTTCAACTCGTGTTTGGGCCAAATATGGACAAAAGTTAATTTAACCCAACAGTTGGGTTTGTCCATATTTTACCGTATAAGCTGTATAAAACTGACTATAAAAAGTAGATTTATAAATGTTAAAATTAAAAAAACATCAGATGTGATGTGTCCCACTGGGAATGTCAGTTTAAGGCTTTCACAATTATTGCTATTTTTGTACATCTAAAATGTTACACTTAACAGTTCATCTGTAAAATTACAATTTCAATAATGCTCATGCCATTATTTAATCACTCTTGTAAGAGTGTTTCATGGGGTGGCATCCACTGATGATGACAGTGAGCACGTACTGAAGTTCTGAATCACTTTCAGAATAAAGGTGAATATTTTATAGAGATTTCCTCAGGCCAGGGCAGGTGTAAGAGGTGTCATTCAGCCAAAGACAGAATCACTTGCCCTTCCCTATGAGAAAGCAACTTTAGTACCACTTTAATCCACCTGAGACGTGTAGTCTGACATCTCTCAAATATGAATATGCCCGTGAAACGTGTACTGTAGATCCATTATGCTAATAAACTACTGTCACGAAGCATAAAGACACTATTTGAAATGCATATAGTTTAACAAATTGATCATTGGCCAGTGTGATTCAAATCTAAAAGTAAATATAGCAACATTTGATCAACTATTGCAAGTGAATATAAATTGAAACCAGATTTTTAATTCTGTTTGGAAAGTAATCACTTGGAAACTAAGATAAATACTGGCGAGCACAGTTGCGTCAACATTTTAAAGTTCCCCATTAAAAAAAAAAAAAAAAAAAAAAAAAAAAAACTATTGCGTAGACAATTGAATTTTTTTTTTCTCCAAAGAGATTTATTAGATACAATAATTGTCAACACACACCTAGCTTGGGGTGTTTCATCAGTGATTTAACCTGAAATTAATTCTCAATAACTGTTTTACTGGGTGTGGTTCTGTTCAAATGCAATTAAAACAAAATGAAAAGACATTGCGGTATCATTACATAATAATAATAATGTTGATGTTAAAAATATTAAGGCCAAATTGCCATATCTTTCAATTATAATATTTATCAATAAATAAATGACATTTATTACCGCTCATCATTGTGTCAGTGAATGTCGTGGAAAATTATGAGCATATTAATCACAGAGATGAAATCTCAAAGCTTGAAATATTTTTGGTAAGGGCTTCTATAACATTCGAATGACTCATACTTAGTTATTGTCACTACAGTACGGCATTTGTCACATATGGCATTTCCGGCCAATGACATCCAGAGAACTGGAACAGGGAGTAGACGGCGATTGAGACATCAAGTTCACTTGATTCTGCGAAAAGAGGCAACACAGGTTCCCCGAAGAACATTAAAAGAAGAACAATTTAAAATTCTAATGGAATGGAAACATTCCAAAGGTTCTTCATGAACCATATGCCAATAAAATTGCTTTGTTTTCCTGTGTAGAATATCATCATTATTGATCCTATTTAATGGAAGTGGATGGGGGCCATGATAATCACAAAACCTATATATTTTTTTTATACATATTTATTGTTTGTGTGTGTTTCACTGAACAAATAAAGTCATTGACTTCTAAAATGTGCTAAATAAAGCTTAACATTTAATTTGTCTATTTAGTTTGGCTGCATACACTAGGCTTTGATATTGATTCTGGATAATGCTTTTATGTAATATTTACTTTCTTTCACGGAACAATGGAGTTATGACTGATGGTAATTTAATCCAGTTAAACTGTCTCATGTTTTCATTGGGAAGTGCAGGCACTATGACAGTGGTTTGTGCTAGGCTACTTCAATCAGATTACATTTTCCTGTAATGAATGCCTTTAATTTTACGTGATCCCATTAGTCTTGTCCATTTAAAATACATTAGGCTACTTTTGTTCTAACAGATAACTTTCCCGACATTTCTGCAAAGTGTCGAATTTACGAGTTTGTTTGACTGTCTGACGCCATCTAGAGGCTTTTCCCGACTCTCAAATTTAGTTTTCAATTTCAAAATATGCCTGCTATTTATGTATCATTACAATTTACCAGAATATCAGCACAAACGATAAAAGCGGTGACAGGGAAAATTTAATAAAAAAATAAAATTGTGCCAATAACATAATATTATATCTAATATATAATGAGATATTATAAATAGGCCCAGTGGGGAAATTAGTAGCCTAATATAAAAAATAACAAAAATACCAATCGCATAAAATAAAATAACAGTGCAGAGTAAACTAAGAAATATATAATAGCTTATAATGCTAATATAATGAGATATTGCGCGAAATAAGTAAAATAAAAATAGTGAATATGGAATAAAATAGTAAAGCTATAAACGAGTAGCCTAATATTCAAAAGATAACAGAAATGGCATGGCTAAAAGTGCGGAGTAAATTAAAAACGAAAGAGATAAACGAATAATCCAACGAAAAAAAGTTAAAACAATTATTTATCATTCTTTCTCAATATTTTTCTCAATTTAGAGTTTCTGTTGATAATACTTTATAATCGTTTTATTTTCTTTTTTTTTATCATCCGCTTTAACATTTTCATGTGTTGTTGTTTTCATTCTCCGGGCCGGAAATAGACCATGTGACTCGAGCTGAGCCAATGAAAATCGCCGCAGCTCAGTTCAGGTCACCTGAACAAAAGCACTATCTATCGGTCACATGACTCGTGTTTTGGACAGTTTCAGCGCATTTCTCGTTTTAGAGCGACACACACCTGCAGTCGGTCTTTGAAACACGAGTGAAGCGACAGCAGCATGGCTCACCCCGGCACGCACTCTCCTCGTCTGTGGGTCTGGCTCCTGCTGGTGGTCGTGAGTCGCACAGCGGAGCCGGTGTGCGGAGTCTGGCCGCTGCCGCAACAGATCCATCAGTCCCCGGACAGATACAGTCTGAGTCCGCAGCTCTTCTCCTTCACTTACGGAAAGGACTCGGCAGCTCAGACTGGATGCTCCGTCCTGGATGCTGCTTTCAAAAGATACTTCTCCATCATATTCCCTGACTTTACAAAAGGACCAGGTTGGTTTATGCCAGAAAATGAATGAAACAAATGTACTTCCGTATAGTAGTAAGTTACTCTAAAACATGACTAATTGCATAAAATTAAGGTACTAATTTCTATCTCTTAAGTATTGAACTACTTTCTAAAACCCACACCAGTTCAACAGTACAAGATAGACGTGAAATTACTCTTTTAATTCTTTCAAATAAACCAATATAGCATTTCTTGTTATTGCTTTGATTGTATGTCATACTTTACATGTTTAAAAGGAAATTGTATGTGTAGCACAAATATGTTAATCCTGTTCTGCATTCTGTTTTGTAACACTGGGTTCTGGGTTCACTGGGACTGTTTATGTGCGTCTAAATAATCTTCATAGTCAAATGAAACAATTTTGCAATACTAAATAATGTGTGATATGATGATGTTTATTTGAGCAGAAAACGGGCTTCGTTACTGGTCGGAGTCCAAACCCTTTGTGGTGTCGGTGAGTGTCAAAAGCAGAGGATGTGACGGCTACCCTGGTGAAGATTCAGATGAGAGCTGTGAGTGTTTCCTGATCATGTGATCTTGAGATGACCTTTGATCTTTTATTTACTCTGATCATTTGTGAGAAAGTCTGCTATATTAGAAGGTGTAATTACACTGTCCAGATTCAAAACATAATGTTTGTGCCATAGTATAAAGCATATGTAATATGGTAAAACATGCCAATGACAATCTTAACATGTTGCAGATAACCTGAGTGTTTCTGAAGGCCAGGCTGTTCTGAGATCAGTGACTGTATGGGGTTCTCTGAGAGGTGTGACTTATCTTGCTTGTTATGCTTGTTGATTTTCCCATTTTGTGCATAATTCTTTGCTTGACAGCACTAAATATTTGTCTTTTTCAACTTCTGAACCCTGAAAAACAGGTCTGGAGTCCTTCAGTCAGCTTGTGTACCAGGACGATTATGGCTCTGTAAGTTTTGTGTGACTGTATTTTAGTCATGTGATTGTCGCGGTATATTAACATGCTAAATTTAAGACTTTTCCCTGCAGTATTTTCTCAACAAGACAGAGATTGTAGACTTCCCACGGTTTGCATTCAGAGGACTTTTACTGGACACTTCAAGGCATTATTTACCCCTCCATGCTATTTTGAAGACCTTGGTATGTATTTACTGTTCATTATAAATCGTATTTAAAAAATATACAAATATATGTTTACTATTATACACTAGCATAGCATTCAAATGTTTGGTGTCGGTGCGATATATTATTTAATATTTAATCAAAAATATAGTAATATTATAAAATAGTATTACAATTTCAAATAAATGTTTCTATTTAAATTTATTTTAAAATAGAATTTATTCCTGTGATCAAAGCTGAATTTTCAGCATCAATACTTCAGTCTTCGGTCACGCGATCCTTCAAAAATCAATCCAATATGACGATTTGCTGCTCAATAATTTTTTTTATTATCATAATGATTAAAAGACAGCATTTATTTAAATAAATATAAACTTTTGTAGCATAATAAATGTCTTTACTGACGCGTCTGATCAATTGAATTCCTCGCTGAAAAAATGTTTTAAGTATTGTGAAATACATCAATTGAATTTGAATTTTCCGTAGGATGCCATGGCTTACAGTAAACTCAACGTCTTTCACTGGCACATCGTGGATGATCCCTCTTTTCCGTACCAGAGCCGCACCTTTCCTGACCTCAGCAATAAGGTGAACGGGCTTTAGTTTTCGTTTTTCATCTAACTTTATTTTAATTAACAAGTGATTTATTTTAAAAGAGTTTTAGTTGCCAATAACAACACTGGCATATCTTTTTCTTCTAGGGAGCTTTTCATCCGTTCACTCATATCTACACACAGTCAGATGTGATGAGAGTGATTGAACATGCGAGAATGAGAGGCATTAGAGTCGTACCGGAGTTTGACTCGCCTGGACACACTCAGTCATGGGGGAAAGGTACACACACACACACACATAGTGTTGGGAAAAGTTGCTTTAGGGAATGTCTTACAATATTGTGTTACTCTCTAAAAAGTATCTAATACTTATGGCACTTTTCCACTACACATTACCGGCTCGGTTCAACTCGCCTTTGTTTGGTTTTCCACTGTGTAAAAGTTGCACCTGTTCCTGCCTTTGGGTTTTTTTTTGTATCACCTCCAGCGAGGGTCTGAGCGAGCTGAGGCGATACTTAAATGTGACGTGAAAACAATGCCGACTGCTGATTGGTCAGAATAGTCAGTATTCTCTGCGTCATCATTGGACGCGCCAGATGGAGTTTCCAGAACTTTCTTTTTTTTTTAAACACTACAACGAATAACAACACTTGTCCTTAATTTTCAGGACAGCCAGACCTCTTGACACCATGTTACAGGGGAGACGTACCCTCTGGTTCATTTGGACCCGTCGATCCAACGGTAGACACCACTTATAAATTCATGGAACGCCTCTTAAAAGAGGTGAAATATGTCTTTCCTGACTCATATGTTCACTTAGGAGGGGATGAGGTCAGTTTTGCCTGCTGGTAAGCACTTTTGACATGTTTTGGGTGCCTGCATTACATTAGCATGGTCTTTTTTTTATGTGAAGATTTTAACAAAGTTATTCTCTAAAAACAGGCAGTCCAATCCCAATGTGCTAAAGTTTATGGGAAAGATGGGCTTTGGGAAGGATTTTACCAAACTGGAATCATTCTATATGGAGAGGTTAGTCGAAAATGTTCAAAAACTACATACGCTATCGGTCAAAGTTTGGGGTCGGTAAGATTTTTAAAAGGTTTTTTTGTCTTTCATGCTCACCAAAACTTCAATAAAAACAGTAATATTGTGAAATGTTATTACAATTGTAAAATACTGTTTTCAATTTGAATATATGCTAAACTGTCCTTTCTAATATGATGATTTATTGTTGAAAACATTTGTGCTGGAAACCGTAATGCATCCAGATTCCTTTATAAATACAAAGTTAATAAGAGCAACATTTATTTAAAATAGATCTACTTTGTAACATTATACACGTTTACTGTCACTTTTGATCAATTTAATGCATCCCTGCTGAATATAAGTATTAAAAAAATCTTAATGAAACCTAAAACTTTTGAAAAGTAGTGTACATATACCACAACTTCAGAAGTTTGGATACCGCTACTTTATTATTAATATGTTTCACGTTTTAGAATGACAGCATCACTTGTCTGCTTTTCCTTCAACTGATCATTTAATAAGTAATTATAAATATATATTTATAACATTAAATAATTGAATGAATATTTCAAGTTTAATTTTGAACAAGTTTAATCCCAGATTCTATAATTAATATTTCTAATATGTGTTAAGCCATGTTTGAAACCATTTAAAAAACACAGATATAAGCACACTTGTGACTCTGCATTGATTCCAATCTGTTTTAATGTTTAGTATATTAATTTTCTTGTGATCAAATAATGAACAAACTGTTTATTTGACAGATTTACTGCATAAACATAAGAAATAGAGCATTCGTGAACGCAGTCTATGGTGTTTCTGTGTCTTTATGTCTCTCTTTATGTTGTTCTTTAGCATAATGAACATGACTGCCGCGCTCAACAAAACCTCCATTGTCTGGCAGGACGTGTTTGACTACCGTGAGCGAGTGAGTACAAATCTGCTCTACACTGGTTGCTTTCAAACCTCACAAAGCCGTGCGTGTGATTTAACCGGGACGAGACGCTTCTCTTCTAGCCCAGAGCGAAGTACGTGGTGGAGGTTTGGAAGCAGGGATGTTACCTGTGCGAGATGCGCCGGGTCACTAAAGCAGGGTTAAAGGTCATCCTGGCGGCTCCTTTCTACCTCGACCTGCCGATACCCACTCACAGCTGGGCCCGCTACTACATCGTGCGGCCCCTAGCCTTTAAGGGTCAGAGCATGAGTGCAAAACACTAACAAGTACAAGAGATTGCAGTGCTGTGTCTCAGTGCGGTGTGAAAGTGTGTTCTGTGTGAGAATCAAACAAACATGCCATTGATACGCATGATTTTAAGCATGACTTTACTCGTATAGTTTGTATTTTTATTTTTACATTCAGCTTTCATTCAAATTCACTTTAAGTACATTTTTAATAGAGTAACAACACTGGACTTTCTATTTTGGTTTTATACCCCTTTTAAATAGGAATTGCATCTAATACTTGGTAAATAACTATTTTAAGAGAAACATAAGAATTTGTTTCTCTCTTGCCCATGAAATCCTGTCGTCACGACTGTTGCAAAGCACCGTCTTACCAGAAGGTGTCAACCAGGAGTCGACTTTTGAGGTGAAACGTGTCTGTGTACATAACACAAGACCAGCCTCCCAGAATATATAAAGCAAAATGAAACAAAAACGTGTTTGTTTGTCAGAACTGTGAGCTCTGGTGCTATTTTTGGGCTTTTTGAGTTTGAGTCTAGCTTAGGACATTTTTAAAATCTCGTTTCCACCTCCTTACCCCATCATTTCCTGTCCTCGACTCACAATACACTCCATAAAAGGGGTAAAAGCCCCAAAAGGTTGCATTTATGCACAAAATAACTTTTATATTTTATTTCAGAGCTGTGGATTAGTGGTTAAGATGAGTTCTGTTGCTTTTTGGGGCTTTTTGAGTTTGAGTCTAGCTGGCGACATTTTTAAAATCTCGTTTCCACTTCTTGACCGCATCATTTCCTGTCCTCAACTCACAATACACTTCATAAAAATGATAAAAGCCCCAAAATGTTGCATTTATGCACAAAATATCTTTATATTTTATTTCAGAGCTGTGGATTAGTGGTTAAGATGAGTTCTGTTGCTTTTTTGGGCTTTTTGAGTTTGAGTCTAGCTTGCGACATTTTTAAAATCTCATTTCCACTTCTTGACCGCATCATTTCCTGTCCTCGACTCACAATACACTTTATAAAAGTGATAAAAGCCCCAAAATGTTGCATTTATGCACAAAATATTTTTATATTTTATTTCAGAGCTGTGGATTAGTGGTTAAGATGAGTTCTGTTGCTTTTTGGGGCTTTTTGAATTTGAGTCTAGCTTGCGACATTTTTAAAATCTCGTTTCCACTTCTTGACCGCATCATTTCCTGTCCTCAACTCACAATACACTTCATAAAAATGATAAAAGCCCCAAAATGTTGCATTTATGCACAAAATATCTTTATATTTTATTTCAGAGCTGTGGATTAGTGGTTAAGATGAGTTCTGTTGCTTTTTTTGGGCTTTTTGAGTTTGAGTCTAGCTTGCGACATTTTTAAAAATCTCGTTTCCACTTCTTGACCGCATCATTTCCTGTCCTCGACTCACAATACACTCCATAAAAGTGATAAAAGCCCCAAAATGTTGCATTTATGCACAAAATAATTCCAAAGAGGCGTATAAAGCGTGAAGAGTGCAATGCGTGACCCGGGGTTTCCTGTCTGTACACTGTCTCAGATTCCACAGGACACGGTTCTGGAGATCTGGAAGGGTGAAGGTTACCAGGCTGAACTGAGCAAGATGACCAAGGCCGGGCACAGGGTTCTGCTCTCTGCCCCCTGGTACATTAACCACATCAGCTACGGCCAGGACTGGTGTGTTTCCTACGCAGTGCAGCCCCAGAATTTCTCCGGTGTGTGGAGCAGCATGTTAGGCTGGGGTCAATATTCAAATAGAATAGCAAACGGGCGATTCATAAGAACCTGATGCCGTTTCCGGGTTCAGATACAGTTGATTCTAGTTTATGGGCTGGTGGTTAAGTTAATTTAGTAAATTCAGTTTACAGAATTAGTCAGTTAGCTCTAATTAATGACACTGAACTAAACTATACTAATGAATGATAAATCAACTATTATCTTGCGTTTTGTTTGCTTTGCTGTTGTTTGTAGTGCAGTGCTGGTGTATTTTCAGTGTGTATTTGGTTAAATTTACATGTTTAAGGGACAGATGAGCAAATGTTTTTTTTTTCTATTTAAAATATTTATTTAAAACTTTTTTTATTTTTATGATTCAGCTTAAACTTATTTTTCTTATTGTCTATTAGTTGCCAAGACAGCATTTTATTTTTATAATTGTTAAAGTTTTAAGTTATAGCTTTTTTGAGTTTAAGTTATACAATTAGGTTTTCACAGAAATGCCATAGAATAACAATATTTGGCTCCCCAAAGAACTTTTAAGTGAACTGTGAAAAGAACCATTATTTTAGTGTGAAGAACATTTAAAAAATCCAAAAGAACCCCTTTTTTCACTTTAAAGAACCCTTTGTAAATTGGAAACATTCCAAATGTTCTTCATGAACCTTTAAAAAGCTTTATTTTTAATTGAGTATTTGATTAAAATTGTGTATTTTTTTTCTATGATTTAGGGACAGAAGAACAGAAGAAGTTGGTGATCGGAGGAGAGGTCGCCATGTGGGGTGAATATGTCGACGCCACCAATCTGAGCCCACGTCTGTGGTATGAAAAAATACACTTGACAAGATCATTAATTAGATTATTATGATTGTTGCAAAATCTTTGACTGTGTTTGTGAAGGCCGAGAGCCTGTGCTGCAGCGGAGAGGTTGTGGAGCGATGAAGAAAAAACTCTGAACGCAGATCTAGCCTTCCCTCGCCTGGAAGAGTTTCGCTGTGAACTTCTAAGGTATTGAAATATATTCTTTATCAACGTCTATTAGTCACACTCTACACATACAAATTTCAATATTTAATATGTTTATTATTATTAACCCTATAAAACCCACTGTTTCAATCGATACACAAACACTTCTAAATTATCAAAATGATTCAAACGTTGCTGAATAATCTACTACATGACTTCTGTCATCTGATAGTTCATGCTTTTTTATCAAGTAAAATATCTTTTAGTTTAATTCTACAAGCCATATAAACATCAGAAGCTTCACCAAATTGCATTATTTCGCTCAGTGTTTTCCTCTGAAAAAAATCGATCCGTTTCTTTCCTCCTCATATACGAGCTCCATATTCTCACTATATCATACTATATGATCCATGAAAAGCATGATGTATCAAATATGATACTCAACTAAAACGCATATGCAACTTTTATCTTACATATGCTGTCTAAAGGGTAAATAAACTGTTAAATTTCAAACATTTCATTCGGACTATTTCACATGTCAGGCTTTACAGGGTTTAAAGCACATTATTTAAGATTTTCAGTGAGGAAATTGAGTTTTAAATGATAAAAAAATGATTGACTTGTGTGTGTTTGTGCAGGCGGGGGGTCCAGGCGGAGCCTCTGTTTGTTGGCCACTGTAAGCATGAGTATAACGGGCTGTAAGTTCACCGATGAGCCACTAAAACTGAAGAGGGATCTGTTTTGCACTGGAATATTGCTTCTGAATTTGCACTATAATTTTTTATGATCATGTAAACTGACTTTTGCTAAAGAAAATGTAATTTTTTTTAAATAAAGACCTCTGCAAGAATGATTTTCAAGTTAATCTTCTTTTTTAATTGTGTTTATCCTTAAATAAAACGTCCCCAAAAAGTATTTGGACACTAAAGCTTGTATAAATGTTGGTATTAAATGAATAACTGTATGATATCAGAACATTGTCATTGTGCAGATGGAAAATCAAAAACTCTGTTCATCATTTATTTAACCTAGGTTATTTTTGTTACTGACTGATGTCACGTTATTTTAATGATAAAATATAAGATTGACATGAATTACAGTAAAGTAATAATAATGGGTAATAGTGTCGTGGCTCAATTTACCCTGCATTTTAACAAAAACTAGCTTAGAGCTAACATCATGTTGACAGTATACCCTTCCTAAAACACTTTTTTCAAAGTGTCTGTAATTGTTCAGACACAAGAATCATGAGTTTTTTTTTGTGTTTTTTTTTTTGTTTTCTTTTAAATGGTCAAATGACTGATTTTTTTTGATGGTGGTTAAGAAACAAAGGGTGGCTCAACTTCCCCACAGGTAAATCACCCATTCTCCCCCATCAGGTAAATGGCTGATGTAAAGTAGCTACACATTTAATGAAATCGCCTGGCACTACGACACCAATCCCGTCTCTCCATCCTCACGGCAGCAGATCCTATTAACTTAACTCTGATGGGGTTTACACTGGAGCTGAAGTAGGACACAGAGGCGCGGGTGTCCCGAAACACACTGCTGGTGTTATAGGAGGCGCATAAAGCACCAGGATACAATGCTTTTTTTTTTCATTTTTAGGTTTATTTATATATTTGTTAATATTTTCAATAATATTTTATTGTCTTTATAATTTTTATTTGGCTTTAACTTATATTTATTTCAGTCTTGGTAAGTTTTAGTTCAACTTCAACTTATTTTATTTCAATTAGTTCTGGAACATTATTTTAGCTTATGTATATATATATATATATATATATATATAAATCATTTATATATTTATATAATTTAAATAATTTGTATAAAGACAACACCTACATATTTATCAAATACTTTTTTATTACTGTATTAGTTTGGTTTCTCTGTTAATTGGTTTAACTTTGTTCTACGATATTTTGCGATCGATAATTCAATATATTTTTGCTATCATTATGTAATGTTGTTAAAAAGTTTATCTCAGTTAACAGATAAACTTTAATTTTTAGTAGTATAAGTTTAAGTAAACAATAATAACAACAGCGTGTAGAATCTTCTGTATAAATACACTTCCATTTTATTATTCTGAATTAGGGTCTAAAATTATTTAAAATATATTTTTTTCACACTAATTAAAAAATAAATAAATCAATATTAAGTATTTAATAATTATATATATATATATATACACACACACACACACACACACATATATATATATATATATATATACACTGGAAAAATATATTGTTGGTTTACTATAACTATATATATATATTAAATAAATAAAAACATATTTAAAAAGTTAATATTTTATTTTATTTGTAATTTAAATATTAATTATGTTCATGTATTAGACAAGACACTTTGTATTTTTAGTTTGCATAAATATAAAACAGTTTTTTTCGATTACTGCGAGTCTTATTTTCTTGTTGTCTCTGCTAATTGCAGCTTGATCCTTATTTGACGATTCAGCAGCGAGTTGCACCCCATGAATAAGCCTCCCTATCCCTTGCTCAGCACTAACATGGTCTTTTAACTTAAGTCCTCCTAATGTTTAAGTTACTTGCCAAAATGAGCTTACATGCCTTTGATATTTACTTAGACAATTGATTTTCTCATTGACGGGATTACGCTACCGCTAGCAGATGGCACGGATTGGCTAATCCCAGAAGGCAACAGTGCCGCCCCATTCCCCCCCGACCCTCTTCTGTTCCCCTTCATCCACATGTCCGGTGTGTGAGGCTGATAGACTGACCCATACATGACCTTTGGGTGTGTAGACAATGATTACATGGAATGACTCAAAAATGGCACGTATAGATAGGCTATATACTCTCACTGTGTTTATACCTCAAAAACGACTCATACATCTTACACATATTGTTGAAGTGATGATAACACATCATCGAACAAAGTTATATATCGCATATAAAATCTGTATTGTGAGCAAAAGACTAGCAGTTGATATATTATGCGCAGCTGAAGAGATTTCCCGCCAAATTCTCCTCACTTGGCAAGCGACTCGCTATTTCTCTGTCGGTTAATGTCGATTCGGAAATCTAGTTAATAATCTTATTAGTTAATTAGTGCTAAAACATGGCGTGTTGTTTTGTGCCAATTTTCCCTCAGTACTGCCTCAATAACACGAGTTCAGCATTACAGCATATGGCCACTCGCTCGTGTCCACGAATGCGTTTAATCCCGGACACAAAGATTAATCACGATGAGTCATAGATGTATAAATCTCTGGCTTCCTTCCACCATGACAGGGGCATTAGGGCTATTCTGAATATGATAAATGGCCCTAATTAGATTTTAGAGCTTATTCGTTTTTATTTCACGATTAGAGCCTATTATTGGCAACTGTATAGGCCTACATAAGCCATATCGTATAAAGGACAGATGTTTTGTTTCCCTCACAGTAGGCTATATAGAAGAAGCTCTATGTATAAATGATCGAAAAAAGTGATAAAAATTAATAAACTCAGTCAAATAGCTAGGACAAATGAGCGTTCTGGATCATAAATGGGGGAGATCAGGATCTCAAACTACTCACCTTGTTTGTTTTCTTGAAAACTCGCATCCGTATCCTGAAGTGATTATCTCCGTCTTTGTCTAATTTACTTTGCGCAGTGATCTGAGTGCAGTTTGTGAAGGCAGCTTCTTCATCTCTGATGTAAGCCTCAAGGAACAGTTCATACACTGAAAAAAAAAAATGGAGTAGGATTTACTTGAAAAAAGCTAGGCAACTTTTTTCACTCAGAAAATGCTAGTAAATTTACAATGATTTGCCAAGTAAAAACCTAAACGGTATTTATCGGTATCTTTAATTAGAAATCTTTAAATTTACTTGGAATATGGAATTAAGTAAACTTTACCTAACCTAGTTAAGTGAAAGTAACAAAGAAGTACTTTTAACTCGGCTAGTAAAAAGTTGATTAGTATCGATTTAGTTGAAATTTCCTTTGCATTTCACTAAAACAATAATTTTGAATTTAATTAGTCATTTGTAGTATGTGCTTTACTTAAATCATCTAAAGTATTTATATTACATCATGTCAGATGTTAAGCATCATGTGAATGCAAAGACTCGAAATGTCACAAAATGGCAAGTTACTAATACTGACAACAAAAATCAATGATAAAACAGTGTAAATAGAGCTGGAAACCAGTGAAAAATGAACCTCATTAATTATTCAAGGTCCAGTGCATGATGGGAACCCCAGAATCAGAAAAATTGAGTAATTCTTACTTAATTTTATTGAGTTGATATTTACACTTTCTTGAATTAAGTACTATGTAATTTACTTCGTTTTTTTTTATTCTTGCCTGAACTAACTTTTTCATGTAAATTACATAGTTTTTTTTTTCCAGTAGTATTTACTTCACCAAAAAATATTTTTTTACAGTGTAGGCGGTCAACTTTACAATTCCGCAAAACTTATTTTTTTTAGAAACACGTGAAGCTGTTTACGTTTTTAAGTTAAGTCAGCTCATCACTTTTTAAAGTGTAGACGCAAAATGTAAATTTAGAGGTCTCTACCTATTGTTAATCATGATATTGCCTATGTACACAAAAGGCCTATTTCTCTCAAATATTGTTCACAAATCTGTCTAAATCTGTGTTAGTGAGCACTTCTCCTTTGCCGAGATAATCTATCCACCTCAGGTGGGGCATATCGAGATGTTGATTAGGCTGGCCACAATAAAAGGCCACTCTAAAATTTTGCATAAAGTTAAAGCTAAAAAAATTATCACTTGGACTATGTCTAATGATGATGATGAAGAGTCAAGTTCTGTCAGTTTCTCAGATGAGAGCAGGCTTATGGACGTTTCTGGAGGCTGAACGCAGTGTGTGTGTGTGTGTGTCACACTCTCACCGCTCCTCCGCCTCAAACACGGCCTGACCTAGATCTCTGACAGTAAACAGATGCCGTAGCGTAGCGTTGCTGCCATCAGCAGAATACAGCGCTGGCCGGATCACTGTCAGATTAACCCTGAGGAACGAGCATCACTCATCACTGTTGCAGGACAGGAGGACGAGCAGCTCACTGACTGACGGCTGACCCGCAAACGCCACGTGTCACACACACGATCCGCCACGAGCGGATGAAGCGTTCAATCAATAAACACAAGGGGCCCTATCATACACCCGGCGCAATGCAGCGCCAAACGCAACAAGTGGTATTTGCTAGTTTCAGCCTGACACAATTATGATTTTTTCATCCTGCAACATGTTGTTTAAAGGCGTGGTTGATTATTATTTCACTTTTCTAGCTTTAGTTAGTGTGCAATGTTGCTGTTTGAGCATAAACAACATCTGCAAAGCTACAACGCTCAAAGTTCAAAGCAAAGGGAGACAACAAACGGCTGGTACACGACATTCCTCCCGGCTTAGTGACATCTTCCAACCCTAAAATTTACATAAACGCCACCAACGGAACATGATTTAGAGATTATCAAGACAGAATATGCTAATCAATGACTAGAAGATAACTACACATAAGATCATAAATTCATTAATGCCCTGTTGCATTCTAAATGTTTCACTTCTCATCATTCTGTCTCCGGTTTGAACATAAAAGGCTAAAAGTTTAAGAAATTTCAGTGCATGTGTGTGTGAGGTGAAAGGACACAAGCTCTTGAAGCTCCGCCCCTGTGCCGGGAACAGCAGCTCATTTGCATTTAAAGGGACAGACACAAAAACGGTGTGTTTTTGCTCACCCTCAAAAATTGACAATTTTACAAATGTCTGTGGAGTATTTTGAGCTCAAACTTCACATCAAAAACTTATTTTACATTTTATGAAAAGGCCATTATACCACACCTTTAAAAAGCTAATAATTTGTGCGTC